AATGAACCACGATTCCCGGGGAAAGCTTGGGTTCAGCCTTGTCGCACTTCCAGATGTGCACCTGGTCCTTTCTTCTGAAATCACATAAAAAGCTGGTGGGTATCTTTCTGGCAGCACCCTGTTAATGAATCCAGATACAGTAAGACATATATTAAAAAAAGTAGAATTGTAATTATGGTAATGTGGCAAAATAACTTAAAAACGGAAAATAAACCGGGAGTCTGGCTGCTGAAATGTGAGCACTGTGTTTCTCCTTAATTTGCTGTTGTCTTGGAACCTAGCTGTTTATGCAGTGCTGTCACCTTCTGTTGCTTGTCTAAGTGCCAACTTCTTTCCCAAAGGTGCTCAGTGACTAATGCTTTGGTTACCAGCCAGAATATTTTATAAATGTCTATTTCTAGGCAGCTCTTCCACAAGTCTTAATTAAACTTTAATGTCAAGCTGAAGTTTACTTGTAGAACCTCTTAGGTTCCTTCAGTTGTAACATGATTGTGGAGCAGTGGGGGGAGTGCAGGACCACCGTGTTCTCGCACATTTACTTGTGTGGCCAAGCAGGTGCGTACTTAGGGAACACAAAGGTTTGCGACACGGGCATGAGGAAATTACAGGCGTTCCCCGAAATGGTGGGAGAAAGAGCGTGCTGTCGCTGAGTCCAGTTCCTCCACCCTAAAAGGATAGCCGTGGTGTAGGATCACTGGTCTGTTAGTTATTAGACATCCTTCCAGAAAAGATCCAAGGTCCCACACTCAGGGATCAGAAGCTAGAGATGCTGCTATGCACCCACATGTTCTTCGTTCCTTCCTCTTCGATGTCTCCAGTACCGACCCAGGAACTCTGAGGCCTGGGGTTGGGGGTGGGGGGAAGGTCGTCTTCTCTGATGCTGCATCTGATGCCACCCCAAATAACAAAGCCTCTGTCATTGTCAGAATGATCAGATTTTAAAGATAATGATGTCCTGTTGTGTGCTTATTTTGAAACTAATTATACTTCTCAGATCGTTCCAGGGCAAAGCCAGCAAACTTTCCATGAAGGGACAGTTAGTAAATATTTTAGGCTTTGTGGGACAGAGGTCTGTCTCAGCTACTCACCTCGGCCATCATAGTGCAGAAGTGGCCGCAGTGAAGGAGCATGGCTGTGTCCAGTAAACGTCTCTTACAAAACCAGGCAGGGGCCCACGTTTGGCCTTTAGACAGCAGTCTTGGAGACCCTACTGTAGGTACACTTGCTTTTTACATGATCGTTTTGTTGTACGTTTTTGTTTTTTTGTATGCAATAGTGCCTTATAGTGTATTATTTAAATATAATTTGTTGGTATAATTTAAGCTGGGTGCCAACATTAGCCAGAGTTAGAGATGTTCAGGAGTTGATCCTGGGTTCACAAACTGTAGGGGTCTGCTCCTAGACAGACCACACAGACTAACACAACAGAAGTACATTTATATGTCCACCAAAAGACTGTAATAGCTCCCAACTAGAATTGCCAAAATTCCCAATGATCATTGCATGGATAAAGAAAATGTGGTATGTTTACAAACTGATACATAATACCATTGAGGATAAACCATTTACAGCCCTCCACATCTGTAGAGATTAATGTTCTAAGCAAAATTTTAAGTACAGAAAGCCTGATACGTAAAAATTAAATACTTGGTGATTCCACTTATAAGAAAGAGAACACCAGGGGTGCCTGAGTGGTTCAGTCATTAAGCGTCTGCCTTCGGCTCTGGTCATGATCCCGGGGTCCTGGGATCGAGCCCTGAAAGGAAGGTGATGGGTGGGGGCAGTCACTGGAAGGGAGGGGCACAAGGACATTTCTCTCTCATGCTGGTAATACATTTTCTTGATCTGGATGCTTTCATTAGTGTATTCAGTTTGTAAGAATTCACTGAGCTGTGAATTTTAGGATATGTGTGTTTTTCTGTATGTGCTATCTTGATCAGTAAGTGTAAAATGGAAAAAATAAATCAGGATAAGAGGGGCAGAATTTTTAGGTATAAGTGAACTGTGCAGCTTCTTAGATCTCTACCATTAGAAATAGAAGAGTGGGGAGAAGCGTCTCTAATTTGTTTGCATATTCTGAAGTTCATGAAAATAATTACTCCTCAGAAACTATACTCTTTCTAGGGGTGCCTGGGTGGCTCAGTCGGTTAAGCATCCGACTTCAGCTCAGGTCATGATCTCAGGGTCCTGGAACTGAGCCTCTAGTGGAGCCCCACATTGGGCTCTGCTCTGTGGGGAGTCTGCTTCTCTTTCTCTCTCTTCCTCTGCCCCTGCTCGTGCACATGCTCTCTCTCTCTCTCCCTCAAATCTTTATACTCTTGGGGCGCCTGGGTAGCTCAGTCATTGAGTATCTGCCTTCGGCTCGGATTATGGTTCCAGGATCCTGGGATCGAGCCCTGCATCGGGCTCCCTGCTCAGCGGGAAGCCTGCTTCTCCCTCTCCCACTCCCCCTGCTTGTGTTCCCTCTCTCGCTGGGTCTCTCTCTGTCAAATAAATAAATAAAAATTTTAAAAAAAATCTTTATACTCTTTCCAGTATTGATATTGCCATTAATTTATTGGTCAATTCAGTAGCTGTATTGCCACTAAAATGTTAGGTTGTGTGATGGGGTACAGATCATATGAATGTAGTAGTAGTAGTAGTAGTAGTAGTAGATATTTATTTAACGAAATACTTGGAATTTGTATACTGTCACGGAATAGATAAACATGGCTATCATTTGGTAAAATTTATAATGAGTTAATGATGAGTTTTTATTTTTACAATCATTTATCCAGTAATTTCTCCAGTTTTTCTGATGTTTTTCTTTAGTGTTACCTGACCCTTTTTAATGTTTGATACAGTTATACACCACATATATTTTTTTGAACACTGTGTTTATAGGCTCTGAGAAAACAGTGATAATCATGATCTAGCATCTTCTCTCCAGAACTTACTCTAGTGATGAGAAAAACCAGACAGTGTGAAAACACTACCTCAAAGGGGTGCCCAGTGTGCTGGGAGAAGGCGAGGAAGAAGCTACTTTAGTTAGGGGGAATGCAGTGCTGAGGTAGAAGGGTTAGAAATGAGTGTCAACTGGAAGAACTTCTCACAACTATTACCACTTAGCTGAGTCTTGAAAACAAATCAACCAGAGACATGAAGAGGGAAGATGTTAAAGGCAGAGAGAGAGCTTAAAGTAAGATACAGAACACAGGTGTCTGGATACCTGTTTGCAGGTAAGTTTGGCTGAAGAAAGGAATGAGTTGTGCAGTGGAAAGTGTGGCCTCATGTGTCGTGCTAGTAAGTTAGCATCCTCTCTTGACGGCGCTAAAGCACAGTAAGCAGGCACAGGACATTGTCAAGTTTGCTTTCTGGAAAGTGATCCTCTCTGGCAGTGTGAAAATTGGATTGGAAAAGGAGGGCTTGAGAAATCAATTAAGGGTATAATCCATGGTAAGTCGTGAACTTCCTTTATATTAAAAAAAATTAATCTGAAAATTAAATAAACCCAAATAATCAGAATGGTAGAAAAGCAAGAAGCAACATGCCTTTTCTACCTTCAGGCAAAGTGGTTCCCTGCCTTGGTTTCCCAGAGCCCCTCATGCATAGCTCTTTCCTGAGGATTTATAATAGTTGTTTACATTTGTCTATACATCTGTCCTTTACAAGCTCTACAAAGTGGGGATCTTTTAAACTATCTTTGTATCAGGGAATAAGGAACATGATGATGATATAGGAGCTTTCAGTTATAGTCATTCATGTGTCTTCAAATAATGGTTACAAGCATAAATTTTGAAACCTGTTCTTTAACCCTGTTCTCAAACACCCTTTGTTTTAAATCAATTCACAAATAACCATTAAATGTGGACTCTGTGTTTAGCACTTCCATAAATAGTTTATTCACACACTAATCTTCTATACAGATGTTGATGCGAATGCTACAATGTAAATGTGAGTAAACATTCTCAAGTGCTGGGTGAAAGGTTACCTTTCTTACTGCTAGGATTATCCTCACCTGACACTTTGCTTTGGGTCACATCCTTCACTGGTTGAACCAATTTTTCTAAATTTTAAATTCTTGGATAGAATCATCATGTAAAATTTTTCTTTGGGCTCTTCTAATGCTCTCATTGGTAAAGAGAACTGGCTGTGCAAGCATTTACCTGGAGACTTTAGAACATTCCGGCTGTGGTACTTTGAAGAAGTTCTTTACACCTCAACTTCTGTATATAAAAACGTGTTCTGAGATTTCATGGAACGTGCATGAGCCAAATTTTCAGCGTAGTAATTATTTACTGCGGATGGCGGCTGAGGCTTCAAAACGCTGAACCACCTCCTCCCAACTTGAAGGCCTGGGGCCAGAGCCCGAACTGGGACTCGCTTTCTCATAGGTCTGGATTTGCTGCAGTCTTCTCTTTCCAGGGCGCGGGATGGTGAAGCATGGCTGCAGTTCTGGTTTTAATTTGGTCTAGTGATTGGTCGAGCGGACCAGCCTGCCATAAGAAATGAATTGTAGTGCAACAGACTGTAGGGGCATCCACTTGCTGGACAGAGCTGTCCTTTCCCGGGCTGTGCTCATTCCCCCAGAACATCCTCTATTTGGCTGGTGTTTGTCTCTGGAGTCTCCTTTTTTCCCCAGTTCCCCCCATTTTCCCCTTTGGTTTGGGCAGCAGCTAGTTCAAGGTCTTTCAAGAGGTAAAGAAAAGAAAGCTTTGCTTTTAGAAAAATATTGTGAAACAGGAAAACATGTTAAAGCTATAGAAGTGAAACAGGAGATTAACTTAATTATGACTAAAAATAACAAACTTCCTGGGTAATAGCTGACTGAATTTATCTGAAACATGAAAAATTGAGTTCTTTCTAACATGAAGGGGTATCCACTTGTATGGGCTCATTTCCCCCATGGTGTTTTTCCAAATTACTATTTTATGATCAGGATAAATGAGGAGATGGGATTTTTATTTCCCAAACATTACTTACTTGTTACTAAGTAACATTAAATATTACTTAATTTTTAGGCCACATGAAAATAAGACCTATCTTGCTGTTGGGAGTATGAAGACAGTAATGTTGAATGTGTCCTTGTTTAATGCTGGAGATGATGCATATGAAACAGCTCTGCACATTAAACTCCCCTCCGGCCTTTACTTCATTAAGATTTTAGATCTGGTAAGTATCAAAAACCAAAGCATGATACTAGATTTCATTTTTTTTTTTAAATGTCAGTGGTATGGGACCCTGGGTGGCTCAGGCAGTTAAGCTTCTGCTTTTGGCTCAGGTCATGATTCCAGAGTCCTGGTATCAAGCCCCATGTCCAGGCTCCCTGCTCAGTGGGGAGTTTGCTTCTCCCTCTGCCTCTCTGCCCGCACCCTGACTTGTGCTCTCTCTCTCAAGTAAATAAATAAAATTTTCTTAAAAAATGTACATGGTATATAATCCGTTTCATGGACGTGAGGCCTAAATATTTGGGGTGTATGCAGACTTATCACTAGAGCTTCCATTGATTTTGAGCCTGCCTTCTTGCTCCTGATCAAAATGATAAGTTCCTTGGTATCTGAGATCAAAAAAGTTCGCTTCCCTCTTCCAAATGCTACCGTGTGAGAGACCCCATTGTCCAAGCAAGCTGTTTGGATGCTGCTGCTTTTCTCATTGATGACCTCATCTGGTGCCATGGTGCCACTCGTCTTGGCTGGGCTCCCTGAACAAGCAATATTGGTCCTCCAAGCTGGGCGCCCGGAGTTACTGCTCTGTAGTTTACATTCACATACCCAGTTTTGTTCCCAAAGAACTTCCAACGAGTACCGTACGACCAGCAATCCTCCACAAATTCTGAAGTCTTGGTGTCAACCAGAGCACGGGCAATTTCTCTTTTCTGGCAAGAGTTTGAAGCACCTAGAGCACCGTGCCTCAGTCGAGAACAGTTAAATCTATCAGCAAGGCATTAATAAGGTCGATTTCAAAGAGAAAAGCCTCAATCACTTTCTCCTTTGATGCCTATCTTTTCCCTTAGCAAATTTACACCTCTCTTATCCAGAGACCATCTCTTCAAACCAAGGGCATTTAGAGAGGTCTTGGACCCTTTTCTCTAGAGCCCTGGGAGCCTATTTGCAATAGTATGAGGGAAAACTCAAAAAATATCCATCTGTCTATATAATATATAGTACATTTATAGTATATATACACACACCCATCTAAAGCACATATACATCTATAGGATATAGTGTGTATTTATATGTACACATGTACAGTACATAGATACATCAAGATGTACATTTCCCTGAATGTTTGACTATATATATATATATATACACACACACATACTATTGTGATGACAGTTATTATAATTCTATACCTTTGTCACATTCTCACATCCCAGACAGAAGAGGGTCAATGAAATAGGGCCTTCATGAAATACTTGTTTCATGATTTTTCAAGAAACTGGACCTTGAATTAAATAGGGAATACAAACATGAATGAAAGCTACAAGCCCAGGAATTATTCTGTGTATTCTTTGGAGAATTTACAGGAGTATTAAAATATACCTGTGTGTGTGTGTGTGTGTGTGTGGTGTGTGTGCGCGCGCGCGCACGCACACGCGTTCACGTTTATAAATTTTATTTATATTTCTATTGATCCCAAAAGCAAACAGAAAATAGTCTTCCAGGAAAGCAAATTCTTGAGGAATGATTTTCTTTTCAAAGACTATTCTTAAGCTTATGTTACAAACTTCTTGCCTTCTTACCTAAAGTGGTTGTTTCATTTTCCCTTTTAGGAAGAGAAACAAATAAGCTGCGAAGTAACAGACAGCTCTGGCTTAGTCAAACTTGACTGCAGTGTTGGTTATGTATATGTAGATCACCTATCAAGGGTAAGCATTTAGCATGTATAGTTTTTGCTTATGAACATGAACATAAAATATTTTCTATTTTTTCTGTTTATGCTGTGAACAAGTATATAATTATTTATTTGCTTAGGGTAAGTAGCTAACTGACGAAATAAAACTCACACCAACTGGGCTTAGATCTTTGAGATTGTGTTTATATTCTTGGCAATGTTCACTGTAAAAAAAAAAAAAATAGGGGCACATGTTTGTGTCAAGATGGGCATGTGAATGTGTCGATCAAAATTCTACTCCCCTGTCTCACCCTCCCCTGACACCCCCCCCACCCCTCTCCACCCCAGGTGGTCCTATCTGCCAGGCATGTTACCTCTGCTATACAAAAAGCTGTTACTGGCAAGAGTCCTCACTCAAGTTGTTAAAGCATCTCTAATTTTGTCAGTCTGGACCTGCCTGTCTTTACATTTAGAAGGAGGCTTTGTCTCTGAATGTCACTTGTGGAAGCTGGTGCTTTAAATTTGCCACAACCCCAGCAGCTTCCCGGAGCTCACTGCCTGAGTGAGGGGTAGCCGTGCTTCTAGAACATAGTCTCCAATCTGCATTCCACAGAACATCAACATTAGGAAAATTTCAGATGATAAAAAATACTATTTTGGATTTTTTTTTTTAAATGGGTGTTTCCCTCTCTGTGTCTTACAGATAGATATCAGCTTTCTCCTGGATGTGAGCTCACTCAGCAGAGCAGAAGAGGATCTCAGCATCACAGTGCATGCCACCTGGTATATTACATTGTGAAAAAATAATGGTGCTAAAGGAAGTGGACCCCTGAGTTTAGGGTGGGGGGACTTAGGGGAACCATGAAGCTGTGTTCCACTGTCTGCAGGAGAAAACTTCTCTTGTGTGATCTAAGAAACAAAAACATCTCTAACAGTCTTTGGAGGAAATAACTCTGTAAATAATGAGAGCAAATTTCTGCCAACCCTGTCATAAACATTTCTTACCACATCTTTTTTTCCCTCCCACTCCCCAAGCCTCCAGATATATTCGGTATACATGATACGTGATTAGTCCTCTCTGAAGATGATTTTTATGTTTGGGGGATTCTAACAGGGTGTCTTCTATTTGCTTCTGTAGTGCAAATGAAGGGGAAACGGACGACCTGAAGCGTAACAGAGTGACTTTAGCAATACCTCTCAAGTATGAAGTCATGCTAACTGTTCATGGGTAAGTAAATACGGGCGCCTCCTGTAAAGTTGAGAGCCAATTTTAAATTCTGTTGCTTCTTACATTATTGGTCAAAAAGATATTTAAAAAAATTTTTTAAGTAAAGCTCCTGTGCTGTTTCTGTCCCTTAATAAAGACCTGGTGTTGCATTCTCTTGCCTAGCTCTTCATTAGCTTCATGTACTCTGTAATCACTACTGGGGCCTCTTCAAGCTAGTACCCAGGTGGGGCTTTCTTCCTGGAAAAGCCCCAGAAGCCTCTAGCAGGTCATGTGCAGCCTGTCAGTTGTATGCTGTGCAGGCCAGGGGGCCCCGGGGGTGGGGGAGGGCAGTGTGCAATTGGTATGGTCATTCTTGGTGGCTGCAGCCAGTGTGAAGTTCTAGGAAGTGTAAGCTTGTTCCACTCACCACTCTCCACAACCCACATCTTACCTGTGTGGCAAATCGATGGAGATATGAGAGAGCCAAGCTGCAAGGTGTCCCCTGACCACTCACCCATGGCCCTAGAGCCAGCATTCACTGGTTCCCCACAATGTCAGTGATTGTGTGGACCCTCCTCAGAATCAAGATGGAAACATGTGGAGAAAGATTTAAGGAGTATTAAGAAAACCTTTAGTGATTTTACTGGAAATGATTCAGGCTATTAGTCTTTGTTTAAAACCATATTTTTTTAAAAAAAATTTATTTGAAAGAAAGAGGAAGCGGGAGAGGTAAGAAGTGGGCTCCCCACTGAGCGGGGAGCCCAACAACTCAGGGCTCGGTCCCAGGACCCCAGGACCAGACCTGAGCCGAAGGCAGATGCTTAACCGGCTGATCTACCCAGGCATCCCTAAAACCCTATTAAAGGAACAGAAGAGGGGTGCCTGGGTGGCTCAGTCGTTAAGCGTCTGCCTTCAGCTCAGGTCATGATCTCAGGGTCCAGGGATCGAGCCCCACGTCGGGCTCCCTGCTCAGCGGGAAGCCTGCTTCTCCCTCTCCCACTCCCCCTGCTTGTGTTCCTTCTCTGGCTGTCTCTCTCTCTGTCAAATAAATAAATAAAATCTTTAAAGGAACAGAAGATAGGAGATACCGAACAAATAGACTGATGAGCTTTTCTTGTTGCTCTAAATATAAACCATCCCCAATCATTTTTAACCACTCGCAGAGATGGCATATAATTATATAAAAATGGTGTCTGCAACTGAAAGAAATTGAGTATCACGTTTCCGAGATGAAACAAGCAGAAGAGAGAGGAAGCCATTCAGGAGGGGAGAACCTAGTGCATCAGTGGGGAGCAGAGAAAAGCTGACACCACGTTTCCTGGTTTTGAAGCCTTATCTCACCTCCTTTTCTTGATTTTCTTAGGATGAGTGTCCTCCACACGGTATTTTGGGCAAGGAATGTTCTGCGAGTATAAAACTGCCTAAATCTACAGCATTTCAATATTTCTCTGTAGCCAGTCTCTAATTTGTGTTACTTCACATTAGCTGCCAAATAAGAGCAACTGGTGGAATTGGGATTCCCCAGAAAAGTACTTCTTGGAATTCACTACTGACCTCTATGTCTAATCACAGGCAAAAGAGTGACAACCGTGTATTCCTAAGCAGAAAGTTTACCATACTTACTGCTGTTTGAATTGTTCCCCAGCCTTGGGGTTCATTACAAATAGCCAGCAGGAATTGGATCATAAAGACATAATTCAAAAATAGGTAAAATAGATTGACTTATAGGAAGATGTTGGAGCTATAGGGATAAAGTTAAGAATTTCTCTCATATTTGTCAAATTTATATGAATCATTTGAGGGCTGAGAGAGAAGGAATGGCCAGTGGACTGAACCAGGCAGTGCTGGGAAGACAAAGGATATTTGTGGGAAGAGACATTAACACCCAAGTCAGAGCACATGGCTTTCTGATTTTCTTACATTTCACTGAAATTCATATCTTACCAAGAAACCAAAAATATTCATTGGTTCTTAGAGGCCTCTGTAGTCTGGAATATAGTCTTTTTTTTTTTTTTTTTTAATTTTACTTACTTAGATAGAGAGCACGAGAGGGAAGAGGGTCAGAGGGAGAAGCAGACTCCCCACTGAGCAGGGAGCCCGATGCGGGACTCTATCCTGGGACTCCAGGATCATGACCTGAGCCAAAGGCAGTCGCTTAACCAACTGAGCCACCCAGGCGCCCTGGAATATAGTCTTAAATAGCATTTTTAAGAGAGATGCCATAATCCAGGCTATAAAGAAAGACTGTTTATCATAGCTCATCAAGTAAGAGCAGTTAAATTTGAATTTGTTTCTTTCAGGTTTGTCAACCCAACTTCATTTGTGTATGGACCAAAGGAAGAAAATGAGCCTGAGACGTGCATGGCAGAGAAAATGAACTTCACTTTCCATGTAAGAAGAGTTGTTGTGATATTTGTAGGGAACTGAAAGCTTGTTCCTGCTGCCTTGCTCCAGAGGACATCATAGGCTATGATGCCCCGCGGCTTAGGGGCCCGCCATGGATGGTGGCAGCACGGTTACTCTATCCTCTCTCCTCCTGGGTCCTTGCTCCTGGTTTCCTCCCTTGCCTTTGCCCTGTTACCAAAGCCCATGACTCCTTACAAATACCATGGGAAGGAGTAAGCCCAGGAACAGAGGTAACTCCTGAAACAGGCAAAGTTACGGGAGGAATTGAATCTGCTAGAGGTGCATACGGAGATCAGGATAGGCCAAGGGAAAAGCATCATTGGGTGCAAATCAGTGAACTCTCTTCTTGGTTCAAGCTTTTATACAAGCGCTAACATTACCTAGTAATGGTAGCTCTTACCTCCTGCATCCCCACTTAAGGTCCGCTTGGTCAGCCGTTTAGGTTATAGGTATATGACCTGTTACAAGTAATGTCATTTATTAAAGTGTTTACAAAAAAAAGTATCATCCAAACACATTAATATAAAGGTAAATTTTTTAAAGAAAATTTTACTGTTAAACTGAAACTTTTGGGGCACCATGGATATGATAATTGGAGATAATGTCCACAACAATACTTTTTTGAATCAAAAGCACTACACCAAACATTCTTAGAGCTATGTAACAATCCACAGAATGTGCGTGAGTCTGGATTTAGGTACATTATGATATTTTTTTGTAAGGCAATGCTTTTGAAAATGTAGGTCAGCAGGGCAAGTGGTTGGTGCAATCACTGAAGCACCTGAATCTTGTGATATGGTTGTGAGGTCAAGCCCCATGTCAGGCTCTGTGCTTGGTGTGGAATCTGCTTAAGATTTTCTATCTCCCCCTCCAGCTCGTGCTCCTTCTCTGAAACAAATATTTTTTTAAAAATTAAAATGTAGGTCAGAATCACTTGAGGTACTTATTCCAATGCAAATTCCTGGACCCTGCTCCAGATCTGTAGAATGACCTTGGAATCCTGCGGAGTCTGTGTATACCCGAGTTTTTGTTATATTAGTGTCCATTAGTGTTGAAAAAATAGTCCTATGCTTTGAAGTCCCAAGAAATGCTCCTATCAGAGCCCAGTGAGAGCTCAGCTCAGTTTGTTTTAGTTTATCAGAGCACAGACTCTAGAAGGCCTATTTTTTAATTTACAATGCATGGTTAAGTATTTTTCACTTAAGTTACAATGGAGCGAATAGCACTGGAGGTATCTTCAGTCTGTAGGCTCGGTGAGTCTGTGCAAATTTGAGGAGGTTCTTAGAGGTCTCAAGGTCATTAGGCGAACAAGGATGAAGGATATTTGAGGTTAGACCGATCATTGGCTGGCATGAGGAAGACCCTGTCTAAAGGTTTGGGCAGTGCGGGGTTGTCATTGCTGAGACCACCTTCTGCGACTGCCCTGTACCCCATGGCCTGGCCATCTCCACATGCCAGGGACACATTCTTTCTTCCATATCATGTGCTTCCTAAAGATTATTCCAAATGTAGTTGTGCTATTTCATTCAGATAGTGTGGCATATCTCTTTTCTGACTCGCTCAATGGGTTTCAAAGTTAAGCTCTCAGGAGACAATAATTTTGGCCGGATTTCCTTCCTCAGAGAGCTGCAATCCCCAAATTTATCAGTAATGAAGTAGCATCTACCTCTGCATTATTATTAAAAGGCTGTTGTATTTTCTCTACCCCTTTCAATTTTCTGAGTGCGTCAGCAGCATTATTACCCTGAACTGAAATATATTCTTATTCACTTACTGCGATGAGGATTATCCTCGCAGCAGAGTGATTTTGTGAAACCTGGGGTTTGGAGGTAGAATACCTGAGCTGCTTGTCACTCTGTAGCCATCCCAGGCACATCATTCACACTTCTGAGCCTTTTCCTGAGCTGGAGAATAAAATGTCAGCTCGCCTCATGGGATCGTCGTGAGGATCACTTGATCAAGGGTTTTTAGATACATAATGTGCCATACAAGTTGTCTTTTTCTTTAGACTGTTTCTCCAGTAACCAACAGCCTGGACCATTTGGCCTAAGCAATATCAAAAGGAGAGGGCTAGGAATAATGAGCAAATTATTAGCAAACTTTTTTAAAGTTCTGACTGTGGATCTTTGATGTCCCTTTGCCATGCAGTCGCCAACTCCAAACTCCCCACCACTCTAAATGTTACATGAAACATCCGGGTTCACCCAAAAGCTCGCTGATACCTGTCCTTACATTTATGAAAAATATGTTTAAGTTGTTAAAAATTTTTTTTCTTCCTTCTCAGGTTATCAACACTGGCCATAGCATGGCTCCAAATGTTAGTGTGGAAATAATGGTACCAAATTCTTTTGCCCCCCAAACCGATAAGCTGTTCAACATTTTGGATGTCCAGGTAAAAATGTGTTCCTTCCTTTATTCTAAGTTATGTTGCTAAATAGATAAATCTGTTAACTTGTTTGAGTCACACTCTCAGCTATGAATTCACCACGCACTTATTGAGTACACTTTGACTATTATGCATTAGAACTATAGGGTTAGAGGGACCTTGTCATTTGACGTATACGATCGCTAACAGAACTCTGCTCCTTCCATCTTCAGTGCATTTTCCTTGTGAAAATGGCCCTGTGGACGTAATTGGTGAAATTCTCTATAAATCTTGAGGCCTCTGTTGAAAAATCAGTATTCCAGCCTTTTTTTTTTTTCAACAGAATTGATACCCTTATGTTGATGATTACATCAGAATTGTTTTGTACCTTCCCATTTTCAAGACAAGCAGTCAACAAATAAATCGGCTCATTGGGTTTGAGATCTAATTTTAAAATATCTTACCTGAATTCCAGACTTAGATGGCAGGACATGCTGTTATAACACGTTATCGTTTTATTTTGTGTCTAAAGCCAAAGAAATGTTGAATTTCATGCTAATTTCATGCTAATGTTCAAGTGTCCATTTTTCACATTGCCTTATTTTCTGTAAGGTAGGGCCCTGTGCTCACTTTAGCACCTATATCCAACCTTGTTAAAATGTTGCTGGGTTTCTGAGTTTTTGCCATGGAGACTTAATCTTTCCCAAATAAGTCTGTCCCAAAAATATTTCCACAATTTCAGAAATACTTGATATATTTTAGAAAAGGTAAGCAACTGGAACTTTCAAGATCATGTAGTTTTTGCAGTTCTCTCCAGTATGGATAAGATTTTTCTCACTTTCTATCTATATAGACTACAGCTGGAGAATGCCATTTTAAAAATTATCAAAGAAAGTGTGCATTAGAGCAGGAGAAAGGTCCAATGGAGATCCTGAAAGACATTTTCAAATTCTTGTCCAAGACTGATAAGAAGCTACTGGTAAGTTTCCATTTTTCAGGTTGTAGATTTTGCTTTCCAGCATACAGAACCAAAGCACTTAAAACCAAGAACCAGTGGGTTTGAGCTGTCAATTGAGTATGGGAAAGAAACAAGGTAATATTTTGCACATGAGGAATACACATGCTCGGAGAGATAGACCCAGGGCTATATATGTGTGTGTGTATATATATATACACACACACACACACACACAAATTTCATTATTTATCCAACCAATGCCTATTTTGTGCCAGCCAGACATTGTTCTAGACCCTTTAGGAGGCCAAGATAGAGTATTCAGCTGAGCAGACTTTGTGACATGAGATTAACTTTCACTCCTTTCATTTTAGTGAGTTTATGAAGAAACCAAAAACCCTGAGGAAGTGATCCTACCTTCAAACGATCCAAGTTTTACAAAGCAACATAGAACATGTAACTTAACACAGCCCTGATTAGGAGTCTTTAATTCTCAGAACACATGCTTCAGCTCAAATACTTTTTTGTTGTAGTTTATAAAACAAACATTCATGTTTTGTTTAAAGCAAAATAAATTTTTAAATGCCACCATGGGAGATGTTTAATTCCATGTAAAGTATTTTAGCCACCTTTAAAAAAATGTTTTAATGTAGCTCTTTTGTATTTTTTTTCCAAGTTCTGCATAAAAGATGATCCATATTGTTTAAATTTTTTCTGCCATTTTGGGAAAATGGAAAGTGGAAAAGAAGCCAGCGTTCACATTCAGTTGGAAGGCCGGCCCTACCTTTCGGAAATGGTAAGTAAAATAAAATGACAACTTTGAGTTTGTAGATTTTGTATGAACTTATCTACAATCATCTTATTTAGGTAGGATGGTATGTGAGGAGGCATTTAAGTAAGTAGGAATAGTAAAATTTGGAGTGGAACTCTACAACTGTTTGCATGTATCGCTTCAGCTGAATTCACTGTCTAAATGATATGGCTTTAGTAATTAAACGGATAATTAAGACTGTAAAATAGACTATGGAATAATTAAGGTTTATTTTAGAAAGCATGTCCAACTGCTTATAAACTTTGATTAAATCACAGAAATTGGCTACCTATTTTATATAACCTTAAGGTTTTTTTCTAAACTATTATTTTTTTAAGATTTTATCTATTTGACAGAGAGGCATAGCGAGAGAGGGAACATAAGCAGGGGGAGTGGGAGAGGGAGAAGCAGGCTTCCGGCCGAGCAAGGAGCCCGATGCGGGCTCGATCCCAGGACCCTGGGATCATGACCTGAGCCGAAGGCAGACGCTTAATGACTGAGACACCCAGGCGCCCTCTAAACTACTTTAAATTATGCTTAAATATTTAACAATAAAGCACAAATATATGATAACACTTAAAAACTTTGAAAGGTTGAATAAATAATACATCTTGGACTTCTTCCTAGAAATAAGTATGCAGATTTGGGGGCAGCTGGGTGGATCAGTCAGTTAAGTGTCAGGCTCTTCATGTTGGCTCAGGTCATGACCTCAGGGTCATGAGATTGAGCCCTGCGTTGGGCTCCATGCTCGGGGTGGAGGGGTGGGGAGTCTGCTTGAGCATTCTCTCTCTCCCTCTGCCCCTCCCCCTGCTCACATTCTCTAAAATGAATCTTTAAAAAAAGAGATAAAATTGGTTTTATCTGGAGTTCTGTTCTTCAATTTACCTGATAAATATGGATAATGTCTTTTGCAGGGGTGTTGCAGATTATATGAGATACATTTTGTAAAAAGCACTTAGTGCATGGTATATATAGTAAGCCAAAGAAAATGGTAGTTTTATTTTGTTTAAAGAAGAATGTTTAAAATTGCTACACAGTGGTCAAGGGGGGAAAAAAAAAGACCCACCAGATACAGAAGAGATGTTTGCTGTAGTTCCAATTGTGCTAAAACTAAATCATGAGACCATCAGCAAGTTATTTAAACTTTTGCAGTTTGCCTCTTCATACACTTGAAGTCCAGGTTTCTCAACAATGGGCACTATTGGCATTGTACCAGATTTTTCCATTATGGTATTAAACTATATGTATTTTATCAGAGCAGCAAGATGACAACACTGTTTAGAAAAAAAAAAAAAAGCCTAGCTAAAATAAATTTGAAGAAACATTTATCAGGTGAAGAAAGTCTTATTTGGGAAAAAGATTCAATATCTAGGAAAAAAATTAACTATCAAATATTTAAATACTTAAATATTACAAATATCTACAGTTATCTGCAAACTAGTCATTTTTTTTTTAAAGATTTTATTTTTGCGAGGGGAGAGAGAGCACATGAGCAGGAGTCGGGGGCAGAGGGAGAAGCGGGCTTCCCGCTGTGCAAGGACCCTCCCCCCTCCCCGATAGGGAAGTGGACCCTGGGATCATGACCTGAGCCAAAGGCAGACACTTAACCGACTGAGCCACGCAGGTGCCTAAACTATTCATGTTTAATAAAAGGATTTCAACAAAATGATGCCAGGAAAATTAATACTATGACCATGCCTTTGGAAACAAAGGCAGCGCTGCAGTGCAATTAACTATAAAGGGTGAAATAAATTGGGGAAGATCAATTGTAAAAGCCTCAGCTAGTAGGTAAGGATCATGAGAAATGAATATGTCTTCACAAAATAAAACTATGAGTCAGGCTACAGTGTTCTTTTTTTAAACAGGATGAGACTTCGGCCCTCAAGTTTGAAATAAGAGCAACAGCTTCTCCAGAGCCTAATCCAAAAGTTATTGAACTAAACAAGGATGAGAATGTTGCACACGTAAGATTACCATTTTACCTGAAACCTTAGGATTGTAGGGAAAAACTACTGCTGGAGCGTTTAGTCAGGAAAATAATTAGATTGACTAGATCATGGAGGGCTAGAAATACTTTACCGAGATTGGGCATTTTCTACAACTGGTGGGAGGGAAGGATGCAGATGGCTTTTTCAGGAGATGAACTTGGTAGGGATTATCTGGACGAAGAAACATGGAGCAAGCTGATTCTGCGAAATGGTTACCAGTGTTTCTTAGAACCAGCAAGAGAAGGGGATGGGGTTGTTCAAAATACTGTGGGAATCATGGGTTGGGGGCGGGGGGGCGGTTCAAAGGGAATAGAAGCAAGTTTTTAAACTGGTGGCTCTTTATTTTGGTTACTTATGTAGGTTTTACTTGAAGGACTACATCATCAAAGACCCAAACGTCATTTCACAATAGCGATTATTTCAAGTAGCTTGCTACTTGGACTTATTTTACTTTTATTGATTTCATACGTTATGTGGAAGGTAAGCCTTTAATAATTACCCATGTTAAACCACTCAGTAATGCTGTTCTTGATTTTCACAAAGCCCCCTTTGTGACTCCTGGGTGATTAGATTTAATTATTACAGCACTTTTAATGTTAACTTTTTAAATTCCCAAGTGAACATGTAGTACTGATCTCCTATTTCTAACTTTGGTACCCGTATTCCAACCATGACACTAGTTTGGAAAGATGTTCTTTTAAAAAGCTCTTAGAAAACACTGCATATTATTGTTAATGTCCATTTTGGAAAGAGTGTGTCACCGAGCAGTCCACCAAAAATAATGCTCTTTAACACAATATTTCCCATCTAAATTTTATTGACTACATGGGATAGTGACTGTTCAGGAGTCTGATGAGTGTAATATGTTTGTAAATACACACTGATGATTATGCAATACTATTTTCAGGCTGGCTTCTTTAAAAGACAGTACAAATCTGTACTACAAGAAGAAAACAGAAGAGACAGCTGGAGCTACGTTAACAGCAAAAGCAAGGATGGTGATTAAAGACTTCTTTCAAATTGAGAGACTCAGGTTAACCAAAGAAATTTAAGACAGTGTTTACAAGAAACCCTGAATTCTGCTCAGATTTCTATGTACTTCATTTACCATGACCTTGTGACATATTAGGTCTCAATGCAAGTGAAAAATCCCAAGCAATGATTACTCTTCGAGAGGAAAGTAATCTCTCTGCTCTTGATAGAAAAAAAACACTAAAGCATTCAATTTATTCAAGGTAAGTAATCCCTCGAAGATACCGTGAAATGAAAGTGCTTCTGAATTAAATCATATTGAGGAAGTAAACTCATTTGGAGAAGTCTTGGACTTGAAATATCATTCCTTTAAAAGAAATTATTTGCCATGTGTGCTTGCTTCAGTAAAATAAACTCCACTGAATAGGCAATGATTCATTTCTAATAGATCTTTGAGACTTGTTGGAAAAAACCTGCTAAATATTTTTAAAGAATGAAGAGCTGTTCCTCAATTTTCTAATGTTTTAAAGCAGATTTTATCTGTAAAGACCTTTCTTTGTAATACCTTTATGATGGGCTTTGATCAACAATGATTTATTCAGCAGTCTATGGAAGAGCATTATGGGCCTGAGGAGCAAATTTCAGACTGACCTTATACACTGGTTTGAGCTTAATGACTTCTGGATAATTATTGTTTATACAGCTATGGATTCTTTCTTTCTGTATATACACCTAAGTTCTTAAAAGAATGTTTATATAGGTATGAATCCACTAGTCCTCCTATAACACATTTTTATCAAGGGTACCCAGGAGTAAATTTCTAAAATCCATTTTTAGTGAAATTTTCTGCTTATAAAAACAGTAGTACTTAAGAATTCTAATTTATACTCTGAAACAGATTGTGAATGTTGCACTTTAGCTGATATTTCAAATATAAATACACTGATGTATGTAAAATATGAAAACTGTACCTCACTAATGACTCTTAAAAAGCCAAACTCTACGAAGACCGTGCTTAAGAGGCCAGTATTTCATATAAATTAGATACTGTGTAAAATAGTGACTGTCAAATTAAGCAAATGCACCTACTTGTGTAGATATTACTTTCTCCTCAAATGTATGTATGAAATGTGTTTTTATCGGGTGTATAAGCATTCTCATCTGCACAGAATTAGAGAAACCAGTAAATATAAATGTGACATCAAAATTTCCATGATCTAGGTTTTAGTGATAATCTTTACTATTTATTCATGCAATATGAACTGGATGCTGATAGCTGCGGAATATAATTTCATCTGATTTGTCCTATATCTGTCTTTACTATGGAAGTGATCAAATAAATAGTAAAAGACTTCCATCTATATGAAGCCCCTGCCAACAGCTTTCTCAGGCTGTCTAAATTCCTCTTAAGTTCTCTGTTCACGAGCCCACAGTAGTAGCTGGTGGCCAAAGAACAAGGCAGGCAGAGCTTCGTGCAGGCATTCAAGGAATGAAGCCCAATCTGTGAGCATGAAGCCTCCTGAATGCAGTCATTAATTCAACTTAAAAAGGTATTCTTTCAAAGTATTATATTAGCAAAAGATTTGCTTTTGTCATTACATAAAAAGCAAAGTAATTCTTTCAGGAGATTTTTCTGGAATCATTGGTGGAGGATGATCTCTGAGGAACTTTAAATTTGGCTCTTTTCTATTCAGAAATGATAGCATTTGGGGCATTACTAAGTGCACTAAAACCAGTGTGCTAGGATTGCTGGATACCAGGACTTTCAGAAGCAAAACAGCTCCTCACTAGTTAGCTATTTTGCATACTTTAAAATGTGTTATGGATTTTAAAAGACTTCTTTAAAGAAAATCAGGGAATAGTCCCAAAATTGGTACCCTAACAACTTAAAACGCTTATCTTTTTGGCAGATAATGTAGGTATTGGAATGATTTTGAAATCTGGATTAGTATCTCATCAGGGCATCTTTAGGTAACATCGGGCGTCCATCTGTACCAGGCTCTAGGATTTTCACATCAGTACTGATGGACTCAAATCTTGAAAAGTGAAAGCATTCCAATTATTTCACTTGGGAATTAATTAAGTATATGAATGTTTACTTTCAGTTCCAGTAATACTTTCTGAAACCCAAAATTTATTTCATGTTTTAAGCTCTAGGAAGCTAATTTTTAGCAACAAAATAGCAATTTTAATTTCTTTAAAAAATTATTTTTCCCCTATATGTTTAAAGCATGACCATAGTCCGTCATATTAAAATTCTAGTTTGTACGTTTCTTTTATAAACAATTACATGTTACTTGGGGATCATTCCTTTCTTCCATGCTTCCTCCATAAAGCTTGATCAGTCTGGGGTGTAATCTGTAAAAAAAAAATAGATGTATAATTATTTTATCAACCTATCATTTTCACACATACACCTACTGAGTATGGTACATAATACCTAATCCAAATCTAACGATAGCTACCAAACCTATATTCGTGGCAGAGCCAAAATCTTATAAACTGGGGGGCCTGATAAGTCGGCACCAGTAATTATTGTGACATCCAGGCATTGTGCCTACAGTGGGGTGCTCCTGCACCCTTCCTCTCCACCTTGAGTCATAATGCTTACCAACAGTGAGTCTGCATGGTCCTAAACTTGCCTGCGCCAGTTGCCCCTGTTAAATAGTATGTAACATTGTTCCTGTGTAAAGTAAGCTGAAGGCTTTGGAAAGAGTTGAGAGAAGCGCACTGCTGGATACCAAGTGATGAAGACTAGAGATTTCAGTATAACAATCTGCAACACAGAGGGTTTTCACCAGGTTAAGATCTGGATCCACTTTTAAAATGACAAGAGTCAGTTGTAGGCATTATCTGTATAGTTTAGGGAGAATGGTAATTTGAAATGCCAAGATAGAGACTCAGAAAATCTGGTGATGAGTCTATACGAAAATGCTTTGGCTGTATGTAACAATGGGTGAATAAATGTAAAGTTACACTTTATTTATTAAAATTGTACATCTTTTAATGCTTCCCTGACTTACTCATTAAAAAAAATAGTTTTGTGTCTACTGGTGGACATTAAAGGTGGTGAAATAATGACCCTTACTTAATGTGAACCTCTGATGTGGCTTCCATTAAGTCACCATCTATGTTCCAAGGGAAACTGTTTTCTGAAGCAGCTGCATGCCGTCCGTCGTCCTCTGGATCATATCCACTAAGATTCCTCGGACGAACTTTTACTTCTCCAACGGTGTAAGTCTCAACAAATGGAAAATTGAACTAAATAAAACAAATGCAAATAATCATGACGCTATCTTTATCCTTAACTGCTCATGCAAATTAAGAAAGTTCACTGTGCTCTCTCTTGCATGTAAATATCAACATCCATGAGGACGTTTTTATAGCATTGAATCTCTATGCCAGGGATCCCCGATTTCTCTGGGAGATCTAGCAGCTGGCTAACTTGTTTTATGACCGATAGTATGAGGTTGTATACAATATCATACCATTTCCATTTAAAGATTTTTTACTACCCGGCTGTTGACACAGATTTATATAATCCACTAACTTATTAACTTGTCAGCTAGTTTAGGTGATGTAAAGCACACTAAGTTTCACACTTAGAATTTAATTAGGAAGACCCTAGCTCTAAGCTTAGGAAGGTGGAAAGAGGAAGTCAGTCTAATGTGATTTTTGAGGGTATTTGCCCGCCAAATTCCCACTTTAAAGATGGATGCAAGTCAAGGGGTGTCTGGGTGGCTCACATGGTTAAGCGTCTGCCCTTGGCTCGGGTCATGGTCCCAGGTTCCAGGGATCGAGCCCCGCATCGGGCTCCCTGCTCAGCGGGAAGCCTGCTTCTCCCTCTCCTTCTCCCCCTGCTTGTGCTCTCTCGCTCTTTCAAATAAAATCTTTAAAAAAAAAAAAAAAAGATGGATGCAAGTCAAAAGACAATGGTTTGCTTACTGACCACTCTAAATGGTGCAGGGTGTCTTCAAGTTTCCATCTTTGTTTGTCTAAGGAAACCAGTGGAAAAAATATGTATTCTCATGAATAAGATAGCCAAATACCTTTTTAGTAGCAATGCATGATAACCACTCACTTATTTCACTTTTTAGGTAAATGGCATGAGATTTACTATTATCTACATGGGTTTTTTCCCCTTCCACATGTGAACCTCAGTGAGGTACAGAATTTTAAAAGTTGACAGAAAACTAGTACCCCCCACTAGTACCCCTTATTTTACATATGCAGAAACCAACATCTGACAGATTTTACAGTTTATACTCTATAATGCACTGGGTGACTACAATGAACTATACTGGATTTACAGGGTGGCATCACTATTCTAACAGGTACAGAATTAGAGGGTCCCAAGGAGGTCTCTGCAGAAGCAGGCAGGCTGTGAAACTGCTCAGTAGTCACTGCATTCGACTTCCCATCTCAGGTCCAAAGCCTTGGGGACATCCTTCATTCTGTGTGAACTTGTAAAAATAATGTGTTTTAAATGAGTCACTGCTAACTGGCTACTCTGGGTTAACTTGCATCCCTGATAATGATGCCTGGAAGTCTTAACTCTTAGTACCTGTGTCACCGTATTTGGAAAGAGGGTCTTTGCAGATGTGACTGAGCTAATATGAGGTCATTAGGTTGAGCCCTAATCCAACATGACTGATGTCCTTATAATAGGAGAATTCCATGTGATAAAAACAATCAGCCTGCAGCATACAGCCTTAAGCCAAGAGAAGCCAAGAAGTGACGGCCACCACCAGTAAGTACTATCTTAAATCTTCAGTTTTCATGTGCATCCTTCACCAAATGAAGCTCCATGCATCCCAGCAAATTCATTACCTATGAAGCCACATTGTTAGATGGGACTTTAGGGATCCTACAAAAAATTACCTTAAAATTTGCTCCTTAGGCAATCCCAAAAGAGAATTACCATAAATAATCTGTGCAATAGGTACCTCCCTAAAATAAATATAGAGCTTCTCAGGATGAGTACCTTCAGGTTAATATGCATTGAGGTTCTCACATATGTTTACTAGGGAAGTTTACACTAAGGTAATGACCCTGAATAGCTCTTGGAATATTTAATTTTGAGAGCTTTTTATATTGTTTTGTTGTTTCTACTTTGACTTAGGAAAAAAGAATAACGAACATGCACTGTTTGTAGATTAAGAAAAATACTAACACTGCCAACAAAATGAATAACATCTGAAAAGGTATATATTACTTGAACAATCACCGTCTTTCCTCAAACACACACACGTAAAGTTATTACTTCAGTTCACAACCTACATTTTGTCTGCTTTTGTCTGCTTTGAGATTTGTATTTAAGGAGAGAGGTACTATTAATGTTTATGATACAATTTCCTAAAGACTTCATTCAGTTGGTTGCTCAATAACATTGATCAAATAATGTAGTAGGCAGAAGAGAACTGAAACTTCATGAGGACTGCCTATGAAAGTGTATAATTTTAAAAGTGTGAGCCTTGCAATGCCACCTACATAAGCAAGATTCCGCTGCCAGTGGTTGGCTGGATTTACTCTCCCCTTACTCCTGTTTCTGCTCTCCAGCTACATCCAGGTACAGCTCTATACCTATAAGTAGTGAGACTACAGGGTGTTGTTTTTTGTGTGTTTTTGTTTTTTGCAAGCATACTGATGTAGTTCAAGACTCACAATTTCAGAAATTCACATATTTCTGGATCAGTTTCCTAAAAGCTGGGTCAAAATCTCTGCCAAAAGAATGAATGTGGCTTATAATAGTTATTGTTTCTCTTTAAAACGAATCCCTTAAGGGGAAATACAATTTTATCTGTCTCCAAAAACGCAACCACACGTTCTAGTTCTGAATAGCATAATGACTGTATAAAAGTGGTGTGTTTTTAAATATAGGTCTGCAAATCTATTTCAATTAAGTGAAAGTAGGCTGATCTGTAAATAAATGGCAGGAGAATCTAAAGGGCTTAACTTCAGAGAAAGTCCGCTGTCATAACATCGAGAAGGCTAAAAATCTCAGATTTCACTACTTTTCATCCTGAAGAACAGCTGAGTATATAATCATTTAATTTACTTCACATTTCAATGTAACACTACATTTTCTACTTCCTCTTTGCATGCACATGCGCACACACACACACAAATGTATGTATCCACCAACGGGTAGCTCAGAAAGGGATAATCTATACTAATATGATAGATACTTTTCCAAAATTTGGACGAACCACAAACTGAAAGAAAAAAGATTAATATATTAAGAAAATAATGCCTTCTTATGAGGCAGGATTTGATGTCAACTCTTGCAGCACCTGTCTTTCCATGATTAATAGTTTTGCAAATAAGTAACAAAAATAATCTACTATACCTGATTTTTAACACTGGCGTATCTTTTTAGGTGTTTTATAAATTCTGGTCGAGAAGTGTTTCGTGCAATGATAAGAGCCATGCTTCCATTATTTAATCTGGAATTAAATATTTGTATTTGACATTGAGAAGTTTATTAAGTGATTGCAACAGAAATTACTCTGTATCATTCCTTCTAACAAATATCACATTTACTAGAAGTTTTAGGCAAGATAGATTAATCATCATCATGTTATAGTTACCTAAAATTCTTAAATCTTATCTTGCCATGTTAAATGGCACAGCCCTTCGAATTAGTTTTATTAAGCGACTGACTTCCTTCTCTGTAAGTTCTTAATTTAAGGGCTTTTTTAGAAAATGAACTATCATGCGTCCTATACACCTATCAAGACATCATTTAAAATCCAATGTATTTACTTAGGGATTCAAAATGTGGAATCGTGTGTAAAATAGCAAATAAATACAAGTGGTATAACAAATTGTTCAACACTTTCTAAAAACCTACAGTATGATATTTAAATATTTACTTATGGGCAGGTTGAAGTGACATAGGAAAATAAATCAAAGGGGCCCATGGATGGATAAAAGGGACAAATGTTACCACACATGTGCAGTTAAATGACTGAGCATTTTAATCTTGCATAACTGTTCATTTTAATATAAGAGACTGCAAATTTAGAGATGTGATTTAGTGCCAAAAAAGCCACTCACAAATGCATCTAGCTTTAGAAGGCAGTTTGCAGAAATATGTGCAAATGATTTCTAGCTTGATTTCAAGGCAAATATAAAGTTATTCCAAGAATAACAACAACATGAAAAAGAGCTCTTTAAATCTTATGGAAACTCAGGTTAGAGCTTGCAAGGGACCTTGGTGATTATCCAGTCGTTCACTCAGTTTATACAGAAGGAAAAGAAGACCCCAAGTTTAAGTGATTTGTTCAAAGGCACACAGGGAAAAACAAAATGATCACTGGTACCAGATCTCTTAATTCCCAGGGTCCAATGTTCATTTTACTCAACATGCCAACACATTCAGAGGACTGTCTTGTGTTTTTATTTTTTAAAAATTGCTTACCTTTTCATAAACATGAAAAGCACTTCATATGTCTCCTTTTCAATACTTATTAGTCACTGAAACACACCCTATGTGCCTTCACTATTCTAAATGTTTTATTATATTATGCATTTAATCTTAGGATACTGAAAATAACACTAATTTCTATCAGCAATTTTCACTGAGGTATTTTGAATTAAGTTATACTTTATTGTGGGGAAAAAAAATAAAGTTGGAAGTTGAATCTCCTGTACAATGATCCTGAATCATTCCAAAGATAAATTTCTGACTACCTCTGGTCAGCCAAGGCATGGTGTAAAGGTATTTGCGAAAAAAAAAAGAAAAGAAAGAAAAGAAAAGAAAAGAAAAGTGTTTAATTACAGTCCACAAAGGAAATTTCTGACTAGTCATCCTCCGAAAAATTCATCAATACTGATTAAACCTATCGAGAATAAGCAATGGAATTCCAGGCAAGCTAAAAACTGTATGGGACAGCATTCAGAGAGGCATGAATCCACTCCCAGAAGATCAGACTACCTCTCATGAAGGTCCTTGAGCAAACATGAGAGTCAGAGATGAAGGACGGTTAGATAAGTGTTGTCTCCAGTCCTGTAGAACATTGCTCCTTTAGTCAGCTAGCTGGTTTTCACTTTTAGTGGGGAAAACTACATTAGGGAGGTACATAGCTATCTAGGATTTCTGATGGTATAGGCAGGAAACAATTAAGCTCAATTTCTGTATCACACAACCTTCAAAATAACTCCTTTCCAGTTACTAGACATAATAAGGACCCTGGTGTCCAGATTATTAATACCCAAGTTTATAGTTTTTCTTCTTCTCTAACTTTGGGTATTTCTCTGTTTATTACCTTCATATCAACTGCCACGGAAAAAATTTTTAGATCCATTCCCTTTGCTAGCTGTTAATCATTCTGGTTAAACATTTTGCGGGGAACACAAAACTAATCATTGCAATTACGTTATAAATTGCCACAGCACAGAAGTCATTCTTTCATTCCACTTCCAGGGAAAATCTAGATTTGACTATATTACACAACATTCATGATCCTTTCTTCTATGCTCTCTATGGGAGTGGGAAAGATTTTCAGATGAATAATGGAAAGCTGCTTGAAAAGAATGTGTAAGAGATGGTTTATATTTTTGTGGATAAAATGATATATAAAATGTCTCAAGAAAATGTGGGCAGCAGATTCACATGTACCACTATTCATACTAAATATAAATAAGTGAAATTCAGCTTCCTTTGACTAAAGGTATCAAATATACCCACGTACATGCTATTCATGCTGAGGATATTTATGTCTGCTCTACAGTTTGAAAGTAGAGATGGTCATAAGAAATACCAGAAATCTAATGTTTTCAATGACCCAGTAAATAAACACAAATAAAGCAAAGTAGGCAAAAAATGACACAATAAAATCATGTTAATAAAACCCAAGAAATATTTTAGCCTCAGTAATATGAAGAAATCAGTGATCATCTAGCATTTCCAGTTTAACAGTTGGTCTCAGCCTACTCTGATGCTAAGTCCCTTAGGATCTCTAATATTATCACAGTCCAAAAGACACTACCTGTTGATAATATTCTAGCCAGCCAAAAGTTAGCAAGGTATTCTAAAAGAAAAAAACTGGTTTATAGAAAAGTATCAGTGATTCAATAAAAATACTCACTAACCTGGTAGTAGGTGCCAAGCCTCTAGGTGCCACTGAACACAGGCAAGGGATTGCCATAATGCTGACATTCAAGAACTGACCCTGGATAGTCTGCCACTGATCACTGCCGGCTAAAGGCAACGGAAGAGATTGGTTACTTTCCCTCACCAAAGCAAAATGTCAACAGAGCCTGGCTCAGTTCTCAAGGAGGTACTTTTAAGCTTACCAGATTTGGGAGATCCTTCTGCCTTCCTAAAAGTAAGAACACAAAGAAAACCACATCACACAAAAAATAACATCTATTCAACTGAGAAACTTCAAGAACCTAATATGTTAAATATTTTCTTAGATTAGATACAGTAAGTAAAAATATGTGAGTATACTCCATTACTGCACTATACTGTGCTAATTCATTTAAAGGTGGTATCATCCATAACAATGATTTTCCATTTCTTTTAAAGACTAGAACATTTGCTTTGTGTGGCTTTGAGTAATGTTTGTGTTCTACACTAGACTGAAATTCTGAGGGCAAAAACCATGGGGTTTGTTTGTTTTTTGGCTTACTGTTGTATCCAAAGTGCCTGGTATGTAGTATTCAATAAACAGGCTGTTGAATAAATGAATGGATGAATGGATGGATGAATGGAGTGAATCGTTGCTTCTGAAGACAGAAGTCAAACTACACGGCCTACTAGAACTTCACTACTCTATATCCTTTGCTACTATTTTCGAAAAACAACCAAAGATCACAAGACTAATAAATTGTGTATATCAAACTGTTCCATGCTTTAAAGAAAGATAGAGATGTTTACATCACTTTGAGCTCTTTACCTACCTTTCTTGTAAATCGCAAGAGCTAATACACGGTAAAAAAGCTATTTCACAGTCTTCAGGCCTAAAAATACAGAAAAATTTGCTATTAACACTCATGTACTCTAAGATACAAAATTTTTGGCTTAAGGAAAAAAAAAACTTACTTAAGTTTTGCCAGTGCCTTCATGACCGCAAAATCCCTTCGTTGGTTGGGTGACATCCATCGATTTTTTTCTGCCAGGGCCAAAGTTCTTCCACCAAAGCCAAACATGGCTGAGAACCCAAAGCGAAGAAGCTTGCCAGTGGTGCTAAAAGTGCAGACATCAACTGGTTGTGCGTGCCCTTGAATATCATGTTGGATATTAGTCAAGCAGTGAGAGGAGTAGGGCAAGTTGTCAAAATGGCAAACATAGAAGAGCCTATTTACTTATAGAAGGTCTCGAGCAACTTCATACCAGGATAAATATCCTTGCTTTCTCTTCATCTCCCTTAACCTACAACTACTACAACTGCCATTTGTAACTTTTTCAGGTACTAAGGAAGAAAAACACAAAGGAGTAAATACTGCAGCTTATTGTTATTTCATATAAAACATGGTTAAGGAAGTCAAGTTGAAGTACATGTGCAAAGTAAACTTAGATTTAACAGTTTTGCATTGTACTTATCTGAGTTTACAGACCTTCCATCAACTGGAATAATAACAATTCTAGAGGGGCTATGTAGTATATTTTTTTTTCTTTTTGTGTTTTTCTTTTAATAACATCATCCCAGCCCTATAGTCTTCGTGTAGTCCAACAATAGTATCTGATATACTTAAATAGGATGCATGGGTTTTCTCTATCTTGATTGTAAAATTGTGATCCTGACCATCATGATGATTTTTTTTTCTCACAAGATTATAGTAAAACTTCATTTTCTGCTCTTTATAGTGCCTGGACTCTGAAAAGAGAAGCAGTCCAAATGGTAAAGCTTTGCCTAATTGACTTTTGGTTTTCAGGAAAACATTTCTCTGCTTTGAAAGACAAAGAACTTGTCTTCCCTTAGATATGTCTGACAGAAATAAAATCGCCTTATATAAATATAAAAGCTTCCTTATAAAAAAAACAAACTGCCTTATAAAACATGAACTTCTTTGAAAGAATTCTTACCCATTATAATGTGCAAAGTTGCAGTTACCACATGAGGGATTCCATGAAGAGAATGTGCCAGTACGTTAGTAGAGCCTGCCAAATCAATTTCAAAACATGTAAAATCAATGTAGTGTGTGTTTTAAGTTATGCACTTGCTCTTACTTTACACAGATATCACTACGTAATGTTCAAATGAAAAAATTAATGGATGTTTATAAGTGTTCATTCACAGCTTCGATTCACATCAAATGGTTGCCAAATCACTGTTTAGCCTTTAAACAACTTAAAATTAGTAAATAGTTTATAGTATCTACTTGCTCACAGCTTTTTCCACTATTAATGTCTATTTTCTACCAAAATATACTAGCTATATCAAAGTCTACTCCAACTTCAATGAGTGGGCTTCTAACTTCTATCACAAAATGAGCACCAACAGCACTAAGGCTGTCTTGGGACAGCAGAGACAAATGCATAAATATATAAATAAAAATCCAAATAGTAACAAACAATCTAAAATCACTGTAAAGTACAAAAGACAGTTTCTAAATACCTTTAATGAATCTTTGAGATAAGTTTTCATCCAAGAGGGGATTTCCCTCTTAAATGACAAATGATATCCTAAAGAAAATATTTAATTCCATGGTATTTAACATGCTATAAAAGTCTGTTTTGAGACATTATAGATTTCTTATTTTCATAATGATTAGGATAATTTATGATCCACATGGATTTTTGCCACCAGCCTACAGAAGAAAAGAGTTCTCTCAAATCAGGCTTCTATAACATTTATGTGTCTCTGAGATCTTGGGGTACAAGCCTTCTTTTGAAGAGGAAAATATCAACTAACCCCTGCTATTCCCAGGAGGTTAAAAGGATTTAAAATTAAGAGGCTACAGATTTTCTTGAATTACAGATTATAAGAAAGAAAAGCAGTAACAGCCTGGAGCTGTGAAAGCATGAAGGTTAGCCCCCTGGATTTGTTAACTGGGAACATTCCTGTGTGGTCATACATGATCTCTTCGATTTGTATCACTTGCACTAATGTGTTCTAGGGCTGTTGAGTTGAAGAAGCTGAGGCAACTCAGACATTTTCAACCAAGGCTGTCATTAAAATAATCATCATAAGGGACTTAACTAATATTAATGACTTCCAGACCTCTAGTAATACCAATTCAAAGAAAAGTCCATCTCAACCCTAGTTAACCCTGTTCCAACTGATTCATCAAAGGGCAAATGATGCTCTGACCTTTGGTACTCAGAATATGGCCCACTGTCCAGCCACAATACCCTGGTGCTTAGGACAATACCTGGGTGCTTATTAAAATGTTGACTCTCGGGTCCCACTCCAGACCTACTGAATCAGAGTCTGCATTTTATAAGATCTTCAGGTTTTGTTTATGAACAGTAACTTGAAGAGGCACTCATCTAGAATGTATGGTCTAGGGATCAGGAGCGTCAACATTATCTGGGAGCTTGTTAAAAAGGCAAATATCTGGGTCCCACCTCCAACGATTAGAAACAGAAGGTCTGGAAGTGAGGACCAGGTGTCCATGCTTTAGCAAGTTCTCAAGGTGACTCATATGCACCCTAAGATTTAAGAACGAGGGGTCCAGAAACCTGTTACTCAGTGGATCTTTACCCAGGAGTCAATTACCTAAGCCTTTCCAATTATCCTTTGACCATCTACAGCCTGCCCTTTGGTCATCTAATTGCTAATTAATCTGGAATGGGTGGGAGGGAAGAGAGGAAACAAATCAACCTATTTTGCTTCCCAATCAGATTTATGGTAAAGGTTTTGGAGGAGGCCACATAATTAGAGTGAGATATTTAGGATTATCAATGGATTACAGTACTCCATGAAACACATTTCCTCCATTACCATGGTTAATTAGGAATAAACCATAAAAGCATTCCTCTAGAAAGGCTATTAAAGAACATAATGTAATGTTGTCATGTGCAATAGAGAATGACACATATCATGACTCAAGAAAATAAAGACCATTTATTCCCTCTGCGTTTGAAGTATGCTAAGCATGCCCAAACACAAATCCTTTTAGACTGCTAAAGATCACTTTTTTAATTTTTATGTCTCAGGCTTTGCACCTTGACAACTTGTTCTTAATTCCATAGAGTTTGCAAAGAAGCATGACCAGAAATTACTTTAGTCATTTTCTAGTCTGATTAACCTGTTCCTTAGTCCTGAAGAACAGCTTTTTACACTCTGAATCAAAAAGGAAAGTTTGTGAGGGAAGTGCTTATAAAAAGGTAATACTATAGATTGCTCAGTATTTTTGTTTGGATAATCTAAAAGAGTACAATTTCCAAAAACAAAATGTGATCCATCTGAAAAGATGTCTACATGCCAAAAGAACATGCTGCTCACATAAATAACAACCATGTAATTTTAGCATTCTCACAAAAGCTATAAATGTTCTACCTCAAGGTAAACATTTTAATTAGCCTGAAAAGTTATTTTTCTTAACAGCTACCAGCAACTTTGCTCACCACCACCTCCCCAGACCTGCTAAAATGTGCCAAATACAGAGAGGGTAAGGACAGAAGTAGCAGTTCATGTAAAGCATGAGTGATGAAAGTACCAGGCAGAAACTATGGAGGCAAAAAGAAAAAAGGAAAAAAATTGTCCTTGGAAGTGCAAGCACTTCTGCAGAACAATTAACTTAATTAACCAGACACCATGAATATTCATAAGGCCGTTAATGTCTCCCACATCCAAACAGATAAATGTGATGTAATGACTTCCTAGTCAAGCATATCTAAAATTCTCATGAAAACTGCACCTACACTTTGGTTCTTTGCCTGAAATATCATAGAAATTAACAGTCCCTTGGCAATATTTTATTCTCCTCAAATTAATTGGAAAGCATGAATTTATTGATATGAACGCTATAGGAATATATGGTTCGCAGCCATCAGTATGTGGATTGAGCCTTGTTTTACAACAACTGGATTGCTTTTTTATTTTTATGTCCTCTCTGGCTTTTTCCTCTATCCTTCCCCCACCCCTTTAATCGGAATCTCTGTATAGTTCCTTAGCACCAGTTCCCATGGCAACACACACCATCGCTAATGGCCAGCAGTTCAAATACAGGCTTCCCCACAACTGATCCATTTGAGTCTGACCATAATTCAGCGGCTTAGTCTGTTGGCTCAGTGGAGTAATTTACTAAACACTCTCCCTCTGGGTGTCTCTCTCCAGGAGGCAAATGGCTTCAAAGGCAGACTGTCTTCTGTGTGCAGCTTGGAAACTTCCTGCCACGCTCTTGTTCCCATTTTCTATCAAAGCCCTGATGGGACACTGAGTCCTCCTATTAGTATATCCTGCACATGACTCCCCCCTTCCTTATGGAATCCATAAGCTGGAACTCCTAAACAACAACCACAATTTTGGCAACAGGCTGTATTTTCTATGCAAAGTGCATTCAAATGGCATATTAAAAAGGTAAGCATGACCACCAGTTTTGCTAGCTAACTATTCACTTTATGTCAAATGCATACCTGTGAGGATAACCACCTTTTCATTTTTGATTCACAGCAGTTAATAAGTGACCTTGGGAGTGTATATGCTAGTGAAGAGGAAATGACCTAAGCACATCCGCTTGGCATGGAAAGAAATGCTGAAAAGCTCCACCATTATAGACAGAGCCACTAAAATGACAGGAAACGGTGAAAGCGGTTGGCTCCTCTTTGCCAGCATCTTTTTTTCCCCAGTTGAGGTTATTTTCTTCTCTTCTGCTTAAGATCAGCAAAGGTTTTTCTCTATATGCTTTATAATTATTAGGATATATCCAAATATGTGTCTCCTTTTAAATTCTTTTTTTTTTTGAAAGACTTCACAGTCTAAAAGAGCATTTGTATATCTTTTGTTCTCTGTCAATGAACAATACTAAATATACTGAAATCCGTACTAAATGAATGTGGTTATCAAGTGGATAGAATGTTGAATTTTTTAACCAGGTACATTATTTCCTATTTTCATAGGAAAGAACCATTGTTTCTGCTTTTCTGGTAGAAAGAATATCGTGTGAGGTTTTCCAAATGAAAAAAAATAATCTCTTTCCATCACTATTGTTTGTTTAAATAATTTGGGAGAAGTGACTGGCATAACGTTAATAAACTTGTGAAAGACGTTTCCCTCTCTTCTGGAAGCCAGGGCTGCTCTAGCTGTTCTCCCAGGCTCTCAGGGCTTTCCCCTCCCTTCCCCTACTCACAAATTCTCCTACAAAGGCTCCCAGCAGGGTGTTCCCTTGCTCTCAACCCCCCATTGTTCCCTACTGTTTATCAAACACAATTCAGACCCCTCCCTGTGGAGTCCGGAGCCACCACGGTTTGGGAAAATTTTGATCCAGTCATCACCCAACAAATGGCCCATTTTCTATTTCTCCAAGCTCCTGGATTTCACTTTGGCATTATTTTTGCAATGAAGAAAATAACTCATCCTCATCAGGCCAGATCCTACCCATTTTAGGCCTAATTCAAGTGGCACTAGCTCTATTAATGTCTTCTTTACGTTCATTCACCTAATAAACACTATGGAGCGTTCACTGTGTCACGTTCTATTCTGGCTGCTGGCAACACCGCAATGAGAATGAATCTTTTTGGCATTCTCAACTCCAGGTTATGTATTTATACTCCGATAATGAGAGTTCCACATTTTACCTCACGTGACATTGTAAGCAGCTTGACTCAAGTGGCCCTGTTGGGAAATTTCATACCTGGTGCTGTGCGATCATTAGACCTAATAGGGGAAGGTAGAATAATAATTATCCCATTTGTTGATTGTTTAACTATGTATTAAATCCTCCACATATACCATCTAATACTACCATAACCTTATAATGAGGTGAATATATGTGTATCTTTTTTACAGATTAGAAAAACGAGGCTCAAAGTAATTAAATAACTTGTCCAAAGTCTCCCATTCGATAGTGGAGATGATGAACTTGGGTCTTTCAGATTCAAAGTCTGTGCATTTAGCTCTGCGTTACACTGTCTAGGTTAGGAAGGGAAACAGAGAAAGAGAGGAGGAGAGGTTCCATTTAGCAAATCCATGGCCCCCTGCTTGCCTGCAGGTATTAACCCAAGTGGAAGCTGCGCTCGGACAGCGTTGAGAGGGCTGCCTGTTTCCTTCCCAGCATTCCTCTGGGCTCTGAGAAGCAAAGCATGGGCCACTTCACTGGCAGATCCATCTCCACCAACACAGACGACACTAGAAAACAAGAAATTAAGAATGCAACACTTATAATAATTGGTAATAATTCCTGAAATCTCAACTTCAAAAGAGTAACCTTATATATTCATGTGCATGGTGACTCACACGCACCTTCCAACATTTTAGTTTAAGTGTCAATGAGTAAGAAGGCTCTAGCACTGCACTGGTAAAGTTTACTTCGCAGATATAATACCTACACGATGACCCCATAGACAAAATATTTCTAAGTGGGTTAAGAGACATTAAAACATTTGACCATGTTAATTACATCGAACCTGCGTTTTGCTCTGTTAATATCCAAAAGTATATTGTTCTCATTTTAACAGTCATGTGCAATTCATTTAACTAACTGCTAATTTTCAATATAGCTCTGAAAAGACAGACAACTGTAAAAGTCATGTAAAATATGAAACTTTGAGAAGCTATTTATCATTAGTATATAAATATAGTAACTGAAAACCTGAACTGTTTTTTATCTTTTGGACGTTACTGCTAGATGGCACTTTTTTATTGTTACTACCCTTTTGAGCCTAGTCAGTACTGCTAATAATTTTTTTAAGACCTCATGGTAAGTAGACTATAGCAGAGGTGGTGGTAGAAATTCATGAAAGTAATATATAAGATTTCAGAAATTTGTTTCATAATTATTTGTATTTAAAAGATGTAAAATAATCTCAAGTAGCAAAATCACATTAATTCACCCAAAAGGAGGAAGAGTTTGTGTTATTGAAAGCAGGTGTCATAACTCAAGGCCTCTAAGGGCCCAGCAAAAATGGAAGAGCACACTGAGTCTAAAGGAGGGATTCTCAGTTCAGCCCACTCACATCATCTGGGAGGCACGCCCAGATTTTTCTAGAGATTTTTCATCCTCTGATTTTTCTAGAGAAGCCACAGATTCTGATTTTTGAGTGAGTCTCCTCATTTGTCAATATTATCAACTAGCATTCAATATATTTAAAACCTTAGGGCGCCTGAGTGGCTCAGTTGGTTAAGCGACTGCCTTCAGCTCAGGTCATGATCCTGGAGTCCCGGGATCGAGTCCCGCATCGGGATCCCTGCTCGGCAGGGAGTCTGCTTCTCCCTCTGACCCTTCCCCCTCTCATCCTCTATCTCATTCTCTCTCTCAAATAAATAAAATAAAATCTTTAAAAAAAAAAAAAACCTTTACGTGCCAAACAAAACAGCCTATGGACCATGAGCAGCAGGTTTTATTTATTTAAAGATTTATTTATTTGAGAGAGCGAGCACGCGTGGGAGGAAGGGGTAAAGGAAGAGGGAGAGAGAAACTCAAGCAGACTCCATGCTCAGCACAGAGCCTGAGGTGGAGCTCGATCTCAGCCCTGAGATCAGACCTGAGCCAAACCAAGAGTCGGACGCTCAACTCACTGCACCACCCAGGTGCCCTGGTCACCAGATTTTAAATGGTTCCTTAAGTTTAAGAAGCTCTAGACGTTGGTGAATCCAGAGACTGAGGGTTCATCAACTCCCCCACACCTCGCTCTCAGCCTTCCAGCCCCTGCCCATAGTTGAGGTTCAGCCCTATGACTGCACACAGCCTGGCAGGTCCAGGTCCACCCTAGTTATCAGAGACTCCAGGACATGGGATATTACCCAGGTCATTTTTGGCTAGGGGTATTATTTTATGTCTGAAAGTATTCTAGGGGTTCATCATGTGGTCACTGATTCAGAAAAAAAAAAGTGATTCTATCTACTGAGGGTTGACTTTATGTCAGAAAATATGCTAGTTCTTTTCTATTAAATCCTCAGAATTCTATGAAGTAGGCATTAGCCTCATCTTTATAAAGGGAGAAACCACGGTTTGATGTGAACCTTCTTTAATAGGATTTCAAAGATCTCAGAAATTTGCCAACATTCTATGAACTTAATTATAACTATGAGATTCATGCCCCTTCTACCTGTTGAGGTGTGTGTGATCTGAAAGGAGCACATGAAGTCATCCAACAAAACATATAACTTAGCACAGAAGAACCTGACTTTTCCATTTAGTATGGCAGCATCTGACCCCTGGGATCCTGCATCCAGTTATAGCATCTTGTACATGTTAACTCATCGCTAGAATTGACAGGGATGGCTCCTCTGTGAACATAATCTGCCTTTGAATTTTTGTCATAACACATTTTATGTTACATTTTGAAACTTTAACAAATGATAATTACAACAATAAAGTAACATTTAGTGAATAATTACTATGTACCAAGCACTGTTCTCAGCACCCTCCATGTATTAACTCATTTAATTTGGACATTTAATATGGACAATAATCATATGCAATAGATACTTTTACCTTCAATTTCAAATTAGGAAACTAAGGCATAGAAAGATTAAATAACTTTTCCAAGGTCATTACATAATAAGTAACAGAAGGAAGATTTGAAACATCACAATTCAGCCTTAGAGACTGCACTACTACTATTCCATGTATTATAATCCTTTCCTATATGTGAAACCTAATGAAAATCACCTTACAAGAGGTTTACTGTTTTTGAAAATCAGTTTACCAGTAGAATCAACGTGGAATTAAATGTGTTAAGAAAAAAATATGTTGATAACTACTATAGCATTAAGATCACCTCCAGGAATACTAGTTACTCAACCTCGGGGATATACTTAATGCAAACACATCACAAGAGTCTGGACATTACAAGAAAAGGCAAAGCAAACACCTACCCACAACCTTCTATAATGTGTTAATTTAACCACACTTAAGAGTTACCCTAAACATAAACCTAGTAACTAATCCTTTGCATGTGGTACCGCTTATATTTTCAGAAAAAGTAAACTCCTTCTTTCCATGACCCCAAATACAATGATTCTGTCTGGAAAAGAATAACCAGAGGCTGATACCTTATTTCTCTTCATAAAAGTTCTCTTTATATAATTTTTAAATGAGTGTATCTTCATCTACAAACCAGTATCATCTTTGAGATGTTTAATAGGTTACTAGGTTTTGATTTAAACTTTTTCTTTTCTGAAAAGAGGTACTTTTTAAAAAATACCTTAGTATAGACATATCATGGTCGATGTGATCAAATGTCAATGTTAGTCAAATAATGTCTAAATCAGTATGGGTCTAGCTCATGGTGAAATTTAAAAAAGAAGAGAAAAACTAATTCAACAAGTTCAAATAAAAACTCTGAAACAAAATAGGAAAATATTAGTATATTTATTACTGCATAAGAACTATAGATTAGCTTAACCACGTTCACACTTGTAAATTCAACCGTTGCTGCTTCAAGTCTATGCACCTGATAGTACTCTTTTCTTTGCCTTTACAAACTTTCTCTCCATGCATAGTAAAAATAGGGGGCAAATAAAAAGTGACACTCCCACAAGTTTGAGCGATGGATCTCAGAGTGTTTGCTAGAATACACAGGAGATGTACAACAGCGGTCTTGAGGACTGATAGATATGTTCCTGTTAGCTTTGTCATAGTGGGTCTTCATAGAAACATATGTAACTTGTTAAAAATTCCAAAATCTTAGCAACTGACATTTCTTAAACATTATATACCAAACCATTTTGCTTTATTAAATAGTATGCACAGAATATTTCTTGGATCTTAAACTCTTTGATCTGTGTCTAAAAACCTTTCGTTGATTTTCTAGTCACACCCTATCAATAGCTTCACTTGAATTAGGCAGAAATGCTTCAGGCTCAAGTTCTTGAAGGAATCCCCTCTCTCATCAAAAGACCATAGAATCTTGGGGGTAGCTTATCCCCACCTTAAATCATTTGTACCTATTTCTCAAGAAGTGCTCCAATAGCCATTCTTTGAACAAGTTCAGAAACAGGGAACTCACAGAGTGCATTACATTTTCAAATGCTTCCACTTGTTAGAGAATTGTTCTTTCTTTTTAACTGAAATATATTTGACATATAACATTCTATGAGTGTCAGGTTAATAACAATGATTCGTTATTTATGTACATTGCAAGTGATCTTCACAATAAGTCTAATTACCAGCCATCATCATACAAAGTTACAAGAAAATTATTTTCTTGCGATGAGAATTTTCAGGATCTCTATTAGCAAATTTCAAATATGCAATACACTGTTATTGACTATAATCTTCATGCTGTACATTATATCCCCCTGACTTATTTATACCTGGAAGTCTGTACCTCTTGATCTCCCTCACTCATTCCACCCATCCTCAATCCTCCTCCCTTCCAGCAACCACCAATCTGTTCTTTTATCTTGCCATTTGCAAGAACATGGAAGGACCTAGAGAGTATTACACTAAGTGAAGTTAGAGAAAGATAAATACAATATGACTTCCCACGTATGTGGAATCTAAAAAAATTCATGCAAAGAATTGTTCTCTTAACGTGTCTAAAGAAACTATGTTTCCATTGTTCTCCTCATATACCTAATCCATGTAATTCTAAGTGGAGTGACTTAAAATGACCATTTTACTAAGTTTTCCCAGGTCCCAGTGGAAAAACTAGGCCCATGAAAATAAATGAGATATTGAAGGAATCTTAGAAAATAGATGATTTTCAATAGAAATTTTAAATTATTATAAGTCCTAAATAAATCAGCATGCTGTGGAATTCAGAAACCATTAAATCACTAAACTTAAATCATAGAGTAGTTAGGTCAAACTATGTGGTTAAAAAAATGTGGATAATAACTAAAAGATCTGCATAACTTTTAGGGCCACACTGTTAAATAACAACACCTGCCATGTGAAATAAACAAGAATTAAGTATATTCAGTTAGAGAAAAAAAAATTACTATCCTGCACTTGAGTCTTTTGTCATTTGGCAAAAATTTTTTAAAAGATCTTATTTATTTATTTATTTGAGAGAGAGAGAGAGAGAGAGAAATCACAAGCGGAGAGGAGGGGCAGAGGTAGAGGGAGAAGCAGGCTCCCCGCTGAGCAGGTAGCCCAATATGGGGCTCGATCCCAGGACCCTGGGACCATGACCTGAGCAGAAGGCAGAGGCTTAACTGACTGAGCCACCCAGGCGCTCCTCTGCAAAATTCTTCTTGATCCTTACATAGTATAATTACCAATGGAATTTATTTGTACATAGCACATTTGATAGAACACTTCGAAAATGCTGATGGGCAAGACCAGATCTAATATCTCTGATATCTGTTACCCTCATTATTTATATAATCATGTTTTGAAGAAAGGACTTATTTGCAATACAGCCACATTTAGATACTCACAAGCTGTGTTTCAGGACTATGCAGCACATTAAAGCGGTAGCTGGTGGGTGCTGATTGATTCCCCCAATTACTTTTCTTAAATTGTATACTTGCAAGATAATTTGCCAAACGTAGCCTGTTAGTCAATCTGTCTAGCTTTAAGTATAAAGCTCTTAAGTAATCTCCTACCCCATACTCTTCATCCTCAATATTCATATAATGGTGCCATCTAGATTTGCTCCTCTCAAATTCTTTTTGAAAAGTCTTGTTTTACTTATCAAACTTTCTTCTTCATCCTCTAATATTGCTTATCAAAAAATATTAAGCATTTCTGGAAAAACAACCCTGATAATGCCCCATTTTGACTGCATCACTTTCCTTCCTAAAATATTCTAATAGTTCTTTGGGAAGAGCAAAGCCTTTAACTCTACAAAGACACAACTGTCCTTCCCGATATTATATTGTTTCCTGCCCATCACCATGTGACACAGATAATTCACATTTTTGTCACCTTTTAAAACCCTGAAAAATCAACCCTTGTAAAAAATCTTCCCTAAAATGTTTTTGTCTAACACATCAATCCACCACTTTAGCAAATTGATTTGCCTACTTTTTAAAAAAATGATTAAAGTATGTTCACTTGCCTCATTTCTAATGTTTGCATAACAGTGAACAATTTCTACACACTCCAGCAATGTATAGCAAATGACAGTTTCCAATGCCTACTCTGGAGAGCACACTTAATTGGTAGCCACTAAATTATAAAAGAATTAAAATTAGCATCTTTTTTTAAAAATTTTATTTATTTGACAGAGAGAGACATAGCGAGAGAGGGAACACAAGCAGGGGGAGTGGGAGGGGGAGAAGCAGGCTTCCCACAGAGCAGGGAGCCCGATGCGAGTCTCCATCCCAGGACCCTGGGATCATGACCTGAGCCGAAGGCAGACGCTTAATGATTGAGCCACCCAGGCGCCCCTAGCATCTTTTATTTATACTGAAAATTATATATTTTAAAAGATTTATTCATTTGAGAGAGAGAGAGAGTGAGTGCAAAAGCGGGGGGTAAGGGGCAGAGGGAGAGGGAGAGGGAGAAGCAGACTCCCTGCTGAGCAGGGCACCTGACATGGGGCTGGATCCCAGGACCCTGAGATAATAACCTGAGCTGAAGGCAAATGCTTAACTGACTGAGCCACCCAGGCACCCCAATATATTTGTATGTATAAAATATTTACCCGCAATCACAGCCAAATGAACCAGTGGGTATCTATTAACATTATCAACAAATTTGCAAAAGAGGATCACAATACAGTTATACCATATGACCTTCCATCAGTGCTTTTCTAGATACATGGTTAAAGCCAAGAATTAAGGACTACAGATCCAAATATATGCACATTAGGTCAGTAAAACGTGGTCCTCTTTGATTTCCCAGTACTTATAGATTTCTCCTTTTGTTTTCCTATGCCTGATCGTGAGAGGTAGAGGACCATGCCATATTGTCATCATTGTTATTACATAGATATGGATGCAACAGTCTAATTACATTCACCACAAATATTGAAATATTTATAAGTCCCAAAAATATGGCTAAAAACTCATGAAACATTTCAGAACATAAGCCATGTGACACATACAGATTGATAATATAACCTACCCATCAAATTCCTGGAGTTCACAATCCTTCAGCAGTGCCAAAGCATGCCCTTCATATTCTGTTACTATTTAAAAACAAAAACCAAAAACAAAAACAGGTGAAAGTTTTAAACAATGATCTACACTCTTTCACTTAGTTTGGCAAAATAATATCAAACATATGGTCAGGTCATAAAACAACATTCATCCTTGAATATTTATATTTTAATCATGGGAAAGAGGGTTAAGGGTTACTTTCCTGATGTGTTTTATAGCTTTATGTAAAAGAGGGTCATATATCTGTTCCAACTACGTAAGTCACGTGGGGCTATCCCACACACAGCAGTTAGATCATTTATCTTGGTGCCTGTTCAGTGTTCCCTTCCTGATATTATAAAGAAGACACATTTCCTTTAAATCAGAAGCCTAAGAGCAGCAGTATTTTGAAAATAAGGCATATTAGCTGGCATCAAATAGTCAATGTTAAATCACTTTGGCAACCTTACATGAATAAATTAGTTGAAAGATTAGTGTAAGATTTACATACTAGAAGAATGTGTATCTGGAACTGCTAGACTAAAAAGAGAAGGAGCTGGATGGGAAAATAACGAAGCAAAGCCAACACCAATGATAACAGACCCAAAGCCGCGGAGGAAGGTGGCACGGACCCACCAGAGCCGGATCCTCTGAGGAAATGAATCTGTCACTCCCTATCGCTGTCTCTACAGTCGTGATGCCCTACAAAGTACTGTAAATGCCAGTGGAGACAGGATAAACTGGCACACTGCAGATGGCACCAAGCATCCCAACCACATTTAGCATTTTCTGGGGCAGCGCTGCCAGAAGAGACAGCCCAGCTGTATCCACCCATCAAAGATTTCTGTGGACTGACATGACATTGCAGATGGATTTTTTGTGTAAGAATGTGCATCATTATATGCAAGATTACATTAATCTTTCATGCCTGTCTGTCCCTGGTGCCGGCATGGTTCAAGCTTTTCCTACAATGTTTTTAGATATTGTTAAAAATTATTAGTCTTGGTGTCTAAAAGAATCACTCTGTATCCAGCAGCATTACATTGTAATTCTCCCCCAGTTTATTCAAATGCTGTTAGCATTCACATGAATAAAACTTCTCTGTATTGAATTCTAATCAGAAGAAGGCTATGAGAAAACTAAGTATAAAATATTAATATTAATAAACTTGGAAGGTTATCATAAATGATTGTGTTGATCATTTATAACCTCAGCAAATAGTTGCAACCTTAAAAATACAAAATAAAATGTTATACATACACACACTGAAAATAATGATATCATGAAGAAATAGTTATGCTGAGAATCAGTTTATCAAGTCTTGCTTCTATGCTAAAGCTTACTTTGGTAAAGCTTTTCAAATCCAATATGAAATTAGCTTTAAAATTAGGTTATGGCTAAATGCTATCTTTATTCAGGAAAAAATTTTAAATAATATTCTATTTCTTTGATCTTGCAGGTGGAATTTGATGATATGTTGATGCAAATTATCCAAGAAGAGTAGAATTTTTTTTTAAAAGATTTTACTTATTTATTTGAGAGAGAGAGAGCTAGAGAGGGAACACAAGCAGGAGGATGGGAGAGGGAGAAGCAGGCTTGCAGCTGAGCAGGGAGCCCGATGCGGGGCTCGATCCCAGGACCCTGGGATCATGACCTGAGCCGAAGGCAGACGCTTTAACGACTGAGCCACCCAGGCACCTCAAAGAAGAGTAATTTTTAAAGTAACACTGAAAAAGTTAGAAAAGTATAGTGACCTGGAACAAAGAGTAAAAGATGAAAGAAACTTGATGACACTATATTAGGAAAATGAACAATAGGAATGAAGTCCTTGGCATCAGGGAGCTCATATTCTGGAGGCAGAAACTAGACACTAATTTTAAAACATGAATACATGATATGAAGTAGTAATAAGTGATTACAAAAAAAATAACAGGGGAAAAAGGATAGAGAATAATCTGGACTACTCTTCAGATATAGTAGAAGAAACTGATGTATTTAGACATAATATTATGGGCCCTGGAGTCACAAAGAGCCAGATCCAAATCATCCCATTCCAAATAAACATATGGAGTAGACTGCTAGACAAATGCAGTTTCAAAAGGTTACTAGTCTTTTCTTTCACTTGCTTTCCTTTTCTGATGAGAATGACACCCTAGGCCCCTTCTATTCAGGAAATTTGGAGATTCCATTCTTTGCAAGGCTTTGAACTCAGTTCTCAGTGCTGGGATTCCCCCACCCACCCTAACCTTCAATTTATGTATTACTTCCTCAAGACGATGAGATTGGAGGGAAGTAATGTCTTGAGGTTAATGCTGAATGTTGATGAGGAAACAGGCTGAAGTAAAATCAGATGAGGCTTGGACTTAAAGAAACATTTCTTGGTCTGGTGATAAAATTCTACAATGGAATAAGATACTGAGATGGCATTTTCTCTCCTGTCCTATAGGTACTTCTGACTTAGCTCCAAATGGAATCTGTCATTTCCACCTTCAAATTGCCTCTCAAATATATTGTTCCTTGTGTTCCATCATCTCCTCCTTGCTACCCAAGGTCAAGACCAGTTGTTTCGGTCTTTGTTGCTACAGTATCCCATCTCAAGCCAATGCCCATGGTCCAGCCACTAATATTTTTTTAATGTGGATATTACAATAGTCTCTTCCCCAGTCTGCCTCCAACCTTTATCCTACTCTCCCCCAGAATGATTTTCTCATGTATTTGATCCTATCCTTTTTCTACATAACCTCCACTGATGAGTCTTCACTGTCACCAGAGACAAAGCTCTAACCCCGGGACATCTGAGTATTACAAACAGGATTCACCATATACACCCACAATTATTTAAGGAATAACAAAAAGAAACTTTCACTCAGAAATCTCTCTTTAGCTGGATATGATGCATGAACAGGTACTCTACAGATTTTTATTAAAGTGCAGGTAAAATTGGAAAGAAATAATGCCCCAGCCTACCAGCATCTTTTGTGACTCAATTTTATCAAATTGCCTAGCTTTCTGCTGGGCAAGATCAGGAATAACAAGAGGCATTTCCAGGGAGGGAAGGCTTTAAGAAGAAACAGAGAGCCAAAGAGAAAAAAATTCCAAGAGGAGATTTGGTAAAAGTGTCATAAGTTAAACTCATGACTCTAGAAGGAGGAAAAAAAAAAGTGACAACAAACTCCACTTTATTGACAATTCCACAAGGGCCAGATAGGACGTAAAAATTATCTCGTGACTAGGCACTCCCATGAGCCCTGAGTTGGCAGAGATCAAGGCTAAATTCAGAGAAGTGTTTTTAACCATGAAAATGATGGTGAGTATGATAAGGTCTAGCAGCTTTGTTAACAAAAAAAAATTGACTGAAGGAGATGGAATTGCCTATCATGAACAAGAGAGATGAAGGAAAGACATATTATCTGTTTCAAATATTTTAATGACTCTTATACACAAGATAGGACACACTTATTTTGTATTACTACAAAAGAGAACATTGACTCTAAAAATTACGAGGAGGCAAAAGTCAACTTACAAGTTCTGCCTGCAGTTCATGCCTTACACAAAGGCATTTGGCCAAACAGGCGGATACGTTTGCAATCTAGCCAGTATACCTAACTCAACATGCTGGTGGCCTTGGGCAGAATCAGCCCAGAAAGAAGGGCACCTTTATATGTTAGCACAAAAAAGGTGCCTTTTCTAATATGCACAAGGCGCAGTGACCCTAAACTCAAGAATGACTAGCAGTATTATCCAGTAATGGCAGACACTGACATAGGGTACCCAAGCAAAGGCTGAGAGTTCATCCATGAGTGTAGGGCCACACCTACACTCCACCACATGGGGGAAATTAAGCTCAATGCCCTCTAAAGTTATTTCTAGATTGATTTCTCTGTTGCCTTTTTTCACCGTACTGTTCTATGAATTATCTTATGAATCTATGATCTCTCAAACACTCTCATACCTTTAACAATGTAATTCCTAAAGTCTGCTCTTTATGGGGAGAAAGATAAAGAAATGGTATCAAAGGCCAGCTTGGGCTTACCATTCACGCTCTTTTTCGATTCGTATGCCAACAAGTTATTAGAAAAAAATAATTCCGCTCTAAGTTCTTCCAGAAGTTTTTCTGATACCATTATTAAATAAGATACTGTGCTGGTGATGGTAGCAGAACTGGGAAGCAGCTTCAGCTCAAGTATTTCAAAGACACTGATCTATATTCAGAAGCAGTTAGGGTTTCAGCAGTAACCAAAAGGAAAAGTATATTTTTATTAATGTGGTGATTCTTTTTTTTTTTAAGCTGGAATTTTATACCTTCTGACACCCTACACTCATTTCTCCCATTCCCCACCTCCCACTGGCAACCAATAATCTGTTCTCTATACCTATGTGTTCAGTTGGGGTTTTTTTTTTTTTTTTTTTTTTACGATTCCACATATAAGTGAGATCAGATGGTAATTTATCTTTCTCTGACATATTTCACTTAGCAAAATGCCCTCAAGGTCCATTCATGTTGTTACAAACATCAAGAGTTCCTTCTTTTTAATGACCAGATAATATTCCATTGTGTGTCCATGTGTGTGCACACACACACACACACACATATACACACCACATTTTCTTTTCCATTCATCCACTGATGGACACTTGGGTTGCTTCCATGTCTTGGCTATTGTAAATAGTGCTGCAATGAACATGGGAGTGCAGCTATCTTTTTGACTTAGTGTTTTTTTTTCTCCTTTGGATAAATACCCAGAGTGGACTTGCTGGATCATATGGTATTTTTAAATTTTTGAGGAACCTCCATACTGTTTTCCACAGTGGCTGCACCAACTTACATTCCCACCAACAGTGCACAAGGGTTCCCTTCTCTCCACATCCTCACCAACACTTGTCTTTTTGATAATAGCCATTCCAACAAATGTGAGGTAATATATTTCACTGTGGTTTTGATTGGCATTTCCCTGATGATTAGTGATGTTGAGCACCTTTTCATGCACCTGGTTGGCCATCTGTATATCTTCTTTGGGAAAATGGCTTTTCAGATCCTCTACCCATTTTTTAGTCCAACTATTAATTTTGCTATTCATTTTTAAAAGAAACTTATAGAAAAAATCCTTTAAAATGTACATATCTAGCTAGAATTATTCATATCCTGCCTCATTTATCTAAGCACTATCTCCTAGTGAATTTATCATCATGTAGAATTTATTATGTAATTTATATTCCATTTAGACACAGCAATGCACACAAGATATGTTAAAATAATGGTCACACTGGACATGCAGAAAATATGTACCTTTCTGTTTTTCATATATTTTTTCTTTCAAGGTGTAAATTGAATCTATTACATAATTTATGAAACAGACAGGCACAGCATTATGACCATCTTCCTACAGCACTTCATGATATACAAGGTAGTTTCAAACTACAGAACTACACTGTGAGACAGGCAGGAAGATTCTAAAGCTTTTCAAGTATCCACATGTTTGTTCAGTCCTTCGCATAAAATAGCAAACTTTTAAAATATAAATATTTAGCTAATATACATACTAAAATGGTTTTATACGCAAAAGATGCAGTTTTATAATTTTGCCTGTAGGAGGAGTGTTAGGCAGCTAATAATTAGCCATTCTGCACAAATATATAAGAAAATTCTAAATTTGTTTTATGAAATGTTTTAATTTTTTGTTCAACTATTTACAAATTTGGGGGGGGGAAGGAGCCCTAGGACATAAAACTCTTCTCTTCAATACAAAAGAAAGTAAGCACATTCTTATCATTTCCTCTGCCTTCCATCAGGTTTCTTCATGCACCAGTCTTTCTTCTGAGCTCTGTCTCTTCCTTCCTAATCCCTATTCCCTTGGCAGAATCATCTCTGCTAAAACAGATGACAAAGCTATGATAAAAAATTGACACCAACTTTGGATCAACATATGATGAGTAAACTACTGAATGCAGCATAAACATCAGTCTGGAATCTGGATTTAGACTTCCTCTAGTGTACATAGTTGGGAGCCTTCCCAGAAGCCACTTTGGCCTTTTTTATTTTCTCCTGAATAGAGCCCAGACTCAGTTCGGGTATTTTCAGCCTTCAGGAAAAGGGGGTCCTACTTCCAGCCCATGGGAAGGGTCTTAAGAGTTAAGAGAGTGATTGCTCCAGATCGGGCACACGTTATAAGACAGTCAAACTGACAGGAGAAAATTTTAATCCTTGCTCAGTATTAAAACACGTTGGATCTCTCGCATACATGCACCTCTCCCTATCCCACTTGATCTGAATGAAGAAGGATCTAATCTAATCCACTGGCAACAATTTTATGATGATGGAAAGGATCAAATTTAAGATGAAGTCAAAACTGAGGAAGCCAGAGCAAATTAAAGAATTCCAAAGATATTATGGGTTACACACACACACCCACACACACACCCACACCCACACACCACTTGTATGTGCTTGCCAGCTTGCCTTCCTTCCCTTACTATTCTGCTTATGCACAGAAAACCACGTTTGCTTCTGACTCTCCAAAATGGTCTAGTTCAAATACTTTTGAGTCCTCTGATCAAAATATCACCCTCTGAGATACCAGAGTTCTTGTATATACATCCCAATTATATTTATTTGAATCCCCAATAAACTAAAAGCCACACAAGAGCAGGTAGTATAACTTATTCATCTTGCATTCTGCGTAGTGTTCAACACGAAGCATTCTACAAGCATTTCCTCAACTGAAAGATATATAGTAGTATCTACATAAAACTGTCCTGGATATTAAAATCAATGAAACAAAATAATGTTATTAAGTTTTCCAATAAGTTTATTCAACTTTTAATGGTCTCATCCTAATAAGAATTTCAAACTTTTTTCCCCCACCAATCTTTGAAAATCTTCAGTGGGTAGGAATGATAGATATGAATTGTTTCTTTTCCTTTTAAATTACCTCTAAGTAAGCCAAAAGCCACAAAGGTATAAGATTAACTTCTCACTACAATTTTCTTTTAGTCAGAAATTCCTCCTGAATTTTTCACGGTAGTTTCTCTTGAACCTCCATTGTAATAGATGAATTTTGGGGTGGCTGACCTTTTTGTTAAGAAAAAAATTTTAGGGGTGCTTGGGTGGCTCAGTAGGTTAAGGCTCTGCCTTCAGCTCAGGCTTATTATGCAAAACTCTTCATCATTTAAATTTACTACAAATTTGCACTGTGTGTTAGTGAGCTACATAGGAACAAAATCAGAAAAACTGGGGTTGTGATTTTTGATAGCACCAACCTTCCTTCTCAGTCTACCCCCCATGGGAAAAATCAGTCTCAAAGGAAACAAAGGAATTTGGTCACCAAATTCAAAAAACTGAAAAGAATTTTGCTAATCTTCTATTAACTTTGGCATTGGCAAATTTCTATTTTCCTCAGCACAAACCTAAGCACCTTTCTTATTTAAGACAATGAATTTAAGCTACTGGCTTCTCTGAATTCATCTAAACCAGCAGTTATGTGCTTAGTTTTGACCTAACCAGCAGGGGTCAGAGTCAGAACAAAAACCACCTAATGAAGGATTTCCATGGAAAGACATCAAACATATAAGTGAGCAAAAATCAATTGCTTGTCAAACTGCAGAAATAATGTGTAAATAGCCAACATCTCAATGAAGATATCAGAAAATGTACAGCTCCCTTTGAAATGATTCCTAATAATTTTTAAAGTCTGAAAAAGGGTCTAAAGAAAATACTGACATTCTAATAAAAATAACACAATGAAGAAAACAAAATAAGTGATAATCCTGCAGTTGGCTATGGTAGGTTATGGAAGCACGTAAAAAAGCTTTAGAGATTACAGGTAGTTTCCTCAATTTGGCTTAAGAACAAATACAAATTGTTTTGTTTCCTTAAGTATGATTTTTTAAAAAAGATTTTATTTATTTATTTGACACAGAGAGGGAGATAGCGAGAGCAGGAACACAAGCGTGGGTAGTGGGAGAGGGAGAAGCAGGCTTCCCACGGAGCAGGACCCTGGGATCATGACCTGAGCCAAAGGCAGAGGGTTAATGACTGAGCCACCCAGGCGCCCCTTTAAGTATGATTTTTTAATGGCAAAATTATATCCTGAAAATGACTTACTTGTAACATCAGTCTTTATTCCTGCAATCCTCAACAGTGGTTCAACCTTCTCATAATAGACCTGGGTAGCTTCTCTTTTGTGGCTTTGGGGGTTGAGAATTACTTTTAATGACTTCGGTCTATTTGAAAAACCTAAGAGGAAAACAAAGACAAAGTTATACAATCTTCATCAGCATTTTTTCCTTTCCCTTTAAAACCATACACTAAGTCCAGTTAGAACGTTATACATCTATTTAAATAGTATTTGTTGTTTTTATTTAAAATTCTTATAAGAGTATTCCCAAACACGGCAGTATTTTAAAACATTTACATTTTCCTAGCAGTTAAATAGGTATATCCCTCTTAAATCATGACTTATAACAAAGCATTTCATTTATGAAGGGAAATGTGGATGAAAGCAACTTTGTGAATATTATTAGGCAATGTTCATGTATATTTACCAAACCATAGATAATATATCAACTGTTCCATTAACATTTATTTCTGGGGGGAAAAAAAGCAATAAGCTGCAAAGAACAGAAAGGTTTACTTCCTCTCCTAAGATAAATATGCTCATTATTAGAATTGGGCTCTCCAGTGACCCCAGGGCTACCCAGGCCTGAGCTGTGGATGAGCCCAGGGTGGAGCAGAGTACATAGGGCTGGGTCAGGGCCAGCACCCAGAGCAATGCATGCTGGGAGCTAAAAAGAGGGTTAGGTTGAAGTTCAGCCTGAAAAAGGGGCCAAGGGAGAAAGGACTCTTCCCTGGGGAATTGGGAAAGCAAGCCTCTCAGCGGGGATTCGATGAGAGTGCTGCCTCACAGTTGGGGCTGTGATTTGATACTACAATTTTCTGGGCTTGCAAGATGCTTATCACTTAGAACCCAGTTGGAGCAGGTGCAAAGCAAATTTTCTGTTATGAAGGTGCAAGAGGGACAGAGGAGCAAAAAGAATGCTAACAACCATTTCTTTCAAGGTAAGCTGCTGTCATAGGGCCACGTTTCATGGTTAAAAAAAGTTACTAGCATCTGCTTTTAATAAAACCATTCCTAAAGCCAAATGGAAAAAAATCCATTCCACCAACGTCGGTTTTTCTGCCTCAAGCAGAGACAATATTTCATTTCTCATCATATTTGATAGAATACCATCCTTCAAGAGCACACACTGTTTTGAACCCAGGGAGAGTGCTGGATGAGGAAAAGATAGGACCATGCGGAACTGCCTAGAACCTCTGTCCTTGTCCCTGTGCTTGTTATTTTGCTTGTTATTAGGCCTCTGGCAGTCTCATCACCCAGCCTTAAAAATCTCAACACCTTGCTCAGTTCCTTTTGTTCTTCCGATTCCTCCATTCAAACAAGTGCCCAGATTCATGAGATGGTAACTCTGTTTCCATGCCTTCCATTCTGTACTTCCTGGCGGTCGCGCTCCAGCTCCTCCCAGGCCCCTGCGCTGCATCTTGGCATCTCACTGTTCTTCAAGTTCCCTGACCTCCGCATCACACCTCCATCGGGCCTGCACCATCCAAGAGCTACCAGAGCTCCCCACTGCCTGTGGCTGAGGCTGAACCCCTTAAAATGACACTCAGAACCCTTCCCCAACCAACCTCAACCTATCCTCCCCTCTTCCTCTCTCATGTATATTCCACAAACATTTATTGAGCATTTGTGCTGAGTACCGGAGCAAAGCGATTAACATGTGGCTTGTGTTTTAAAGGAGGAAGATGGATCCAACACATAGAAACAGCACAAAATAGACTTGGTAACAGAGAGGCACCAATCACCCTGGGAGTGTATGAAAAGAGGCTGGTTAGTTCTCACCAGGGATCAGGAAAAGGGAGTATTTGAGCGGGGCTTTCGGCTCCTGTGGTTTTCACTACTTAGAATTCCCTCCTTCCTCACACCTCCTCTTACCCCTGCCCACCCCACCCCTTAGCCAGACAGCAGGAGCAGGGCAGGAGAGGAAATTCTAACCAGAGACTAGCAGGAAGCTCAGTCAGTGCAGAGGCTTTTCTGTTCCATTTCTGCTTCCCCACCATGCTCTGGAACTACTGAATAACGGGCCAAATACCAGATATGCCAGGCTCTCTTTCTCAGACAGTTTTTTGTTTTTAATATTTTATTTATTTGAGAGAGAGACAGAGATAGCAACAGAGATAGCGAGAGAGAGCATGAGCGGGGAGGAGAGGGAGTAGCAGGCTCCCCACTGAGCAGGGAGCCCGATGCAGGGCTTGATCCCAGGACCCTGGGATCATGACCTGAGCTGAAGGCAGATGCTTCACCAGCTGAGCCACCCAGGTGCCCCTCAGACAGTTTTTCTTTCTATTCCACCTTACCACCATTTCTATGAAAATTCTGTTTTTGTTTTTGTTTTTTTAATGAAGTAGGCCCTGTGCCCAACATGGGGCTTGAACTCACAACCCTAAGATCAAGAGTCAGCATGCTCTAGGGACTGAGCCAGTGAGGTGCCCCAAATTTTGCCACTTTTTTTAAAGCTCACTTCAACACCACTTCCTCACTAAAGACTTCCCTAATCACCAACAGAATTCACCTCTCTGGCTTCTCATTCCCACTTTATTCTGTGTGCCTCTATTAACTATTTTTGTATCATTTATATCATAAAAAAAAAAACAGATGAAAGACCCAATATCTTGGAACTCTTATTGCCAAACCAGGGACAATATGAAATGGAGTAAAGACTGTATCATACTAAGGGGGAGAAGGAAAAACTCTGTCTTATAGAATGACAACTAATAAATATGGAAGAAATGACAGAGTTAGAAAATCACTATTTTTACCCAATAATAGTGCCTTCAGGCAAGAATCAGCAATGGATGTTAAAACCATCAGTGACAGGGAACAAAATATTTCCTTATTCTTAAACTCTGTCCCTCTTTGTTGTTCTCATTACAAAGGGTAAAGCGGACGTTTACAATGGGAAATCTCGCAGACACTGCCTTAGTCAAGTGATCAGAGTTGACCATCACCTTAATGTACAAATGGACACATTTGCCTCAAGATACCTTGTGATGCATGATACACAGCACCGAGGACACAGCATTTCTGTGGTAACCTGCCCAATGTGCATAATGTGGATCAAACAATGATGAAACACTCCGATGGACCCTAGTTGAGGGGGGTATTCTCAAAATAACTGCCTTAAACTCTTAAAAACTGCCATACTGTCAAAGAAAGTTGAGGACCTAGTCCCGATTAAAGGAGGCTAAAGAGAGGACAACTGATGCGATGTATGATTCTGGGTCAGGTAAAAAACTGCCATAAAGGATAGGACTACTATCCTTTAGCGACGAAGGACTAAGCAGATAAATCTAGGGCTCACTTTCATTGAAACACAACAAAGACAAGAAACTTGTTCTAAACTTCAGAGACCAAGACTCAGATTAAATATCCAAATTAAGTTTACCTTACCTAGCATATTTATTGAAAGACCCTGCTTCATTTCTTAGTCAGAGGCAGTCCCAGCGTGGAAAGTGTCTAGGTAGCAAATGGTAGTCCTCAAATGTTATCATGAAAACAAACTTATTTGCCCCTCTTCCTATATCATGACTGTCAGGTAATAAAAATTTTTGGAAATAAGAAACAGTCATTTGGGGCTTATGAGGATAAGCACGTCATAGCTGAAGGCTTATAGCCTTTAAATATACATGTATATATGTATTAAATATACATATAAAGGCTTATAGCCTTTAAATATACATGTATGCTACATGTCCCATTCAACCTTTGTGACACAATCCCCTTAGTCAGGAAAGAGCTAAAACTATTCAAGATTTTCTAAAAAGATTTAAGCAATTTTATTCTTAAGCCTCAGTTACAATAATGGCAATAGAAACTAAATAAATTAATCAGAATGTTCCATTCCTTAGACATCCTGATAAATTGAGCTCTTTTAAAACGTAAATCAACAAAGCCAATTTTTCACCAGAGCATGTATTCATTTTCTCATTTATCTTTTCCTTTTGGGTGCTCTTAATTTGATGATTATGAAGCTAGAGTCTAAGTATATAAAAATTAGATAGCAATTTGATACCTATTTAGAGATCAGAAGGGGGATTTTTATTGAATAAAGCAACATTTTTTTAAGATGTTCATCACTGGGTAGAATAAAGAGATATAATTAGTAACTCTCCAACCTCTCTTCTCTTAGGCTCCCTCCGCAAGCCTCTCTACTTTATTCAACCCTTTGTACATACCATGCTCCCTCTACCACAATGCCATTGCACCAACTCTGCTCTGTCCGCCCACCTATGCTTGCTGCCACCATAACCACTTTGTCCAATTAACCTTTATTCTTTGTTTTGATCTCACCTCAGTCATTGCTTCCTTGGGAAAAATTTCTATGGGCTCCTTGGCTTTGCGACCTTAGCTAGGTCATTGGCCCCTAATCATTTGTTCCTACAGGTCCATACACATTCCAATCTTGATTCTTACACTATTATAATTTTATATCTATTTATTATTTATACTCATATATTAGACTTGGAACTCTGAGGTTTTTCTCCATATTCTATCTTCTTAGTGTAGGGCATATAATAGATGATCAAATATATGATTTATGAATAAAAGGGTAGTGTTAGCCTTCAGCCATATAGACAGTAATGGCATCCATTCATTTATTCACAAATAACTGCATGCATACTATTTGCCAGGCAGGCTTCTAGAAGCTGAGGCTCTATCAGTGAACAAGCAAGCTTCTGCCTTCATGAAGCTTCCATTTTAATGGTAGGGGACAGAAATACTAGGAGAATTCAGAGTATGTTAAGTGGTAATAAGTTCTAAAGGTAAAATGAAACCTCACAGTGGGAGAGGAGGAACACAAAGGTAGAAAATATGACTTCCTTGGGGCGCCTGGGTGGCTCAGATGGTTAAGCGTCTGCCTTCGGCTCAGGTCATGATCCCAGGGTCCTGGGATCAAGCCCCGCGTTGGGCTCCCTGCTCAGCGGGGAGCCTGCTACTCCCCCTCCCTCTGCTTCTCCCCCTGCTCATGTTCTCCCTCTCTCTCTCTCTCTCTCTCTCTCTGTGTGTCTTGAACGAATAAATAAAAAAATCTTAAAAAAAAAAAAAGAAAATATGACTTCCTGGACAAGGAAAATCAGATCACTCACAGGCATTTAGAAGGACTTCGGCTTTTGTTCTG